GATTTAAGTAATGGGCTTAGTTGCTGGTATTATGGTAGTAATATGATTAATGACATGAAATCACATTGCTTTTTAATCAAAAATATTTATACTTATAAAAGTCTACCAGATAACAAACAATCTGGGAAGGCCGTAAAGCATCATATGCAAAAAGTAACCAAAAGGGAAATATCATTTGAGGCTTGAATGGTGAAATTTGTTTTACCAATTTTCGTGAAACAGGGTGAAAATCAGCTTTAAAGCACAAACACACATGGAATAAAGCTGGCATAAAAAATGATCCTTTCCAACCCTCATCTTATAAACTTCAATAAGTTAAAGGTTTATAGAGACATAGAAATATATGGTACAGTATATTCTCATGAATATTGAAGAAAAAAATGTTCTAATGACTAAACTGCGTAGAAAGCAATTCTAGTAGACTAGATATCTTGTTAAAACAGTTTGACAGCTTACAAGATTTTTATCTCACAAGTTGTCATCCTAAAATTACAATATTCTTTAACTGCTCAAGGCACTATCAAACATTTTCATAATCAAAATGCACTGATAGAAATCTACATTATTCTGCCATAACTGGTTTGCATGAGTGTGTATTGAAAAAAGTCAAGAGGTCAGTCTGTTTCTAAACCTGTATTCTTTCTTGTCATTGAACTAGTAAATATGGTAGATTTTAAAACACGAAAATTTCAGATTAGATGTTCAATTACTGTGCTTATCTAAGAGACTTTGTTCTTTTGCAATAAAAATGGGTCTAATTAAGTTGCAGTTAGAACTCATTTTATCAGAATGATCATCTGGTGAATAATTTCAGCCCATTGCGAAAGAAAGGATTTGGTTAATATATATCAAAATACTCTGATTACAGTGAGACGTTTAGTCATATTTTGCACTGTCTCTGAATATTTTTACAAGTAATGTTACTTGGTTATACATGTACTGTGAAGTAGTATTGTCTTGGTCAGTCCAATTATCAGCCTTGGACATTTAACTTTACATTTGTACATCACATTTGTAGTTCATAGAATCTCTGTGGTATATACAAAGTAGCTAATGAAACCATTTATGCATTTATGAACAGTAGCCTTATATTTTCATTTTTTGTGCACGTAGATAAACGAATTTCATGTAATCATCAGATTTACAGTAGTCTTACATACATGGTATGAGATGTTTAGATGTTTGTTTAGTTCAAAAACAGCTCAGCTTCATTAACTATGTAACAGAAGTGAAAATACATACATGTTTATATATAGCAAACGAATCAAGTAGGACATGATTAACATATAGATATAAAACACTTGCATATGAATTGATTCTATTTCACATAATACTTTGACAGCGAATTAATGTCTGGATGTTTAGGTTTTTTAAACCTGTTTTGTTTGTCTGGTTTATTAAAGGAATAAGACAGTGACTGAAGTCTTACTTGAAAGTTCAAAGTGTCTGCTTTTAAACTGAAAACCATGATATTTTCTAGAAGATCTCTTTGCAAGATAACCATAACCTAACATTATGCAGAGGTATTTTTTGACAGGAAGAAGGATGGTCAAGATTTCATGTCAAGACTTTACATGAGATAGCTTGTTAAATTGTAGATTAGGATTTTATGGCAGTCAAATTATGAGGAAATTTTAAAATTCAAGTTGAAACATTCATTTATTACTAAGGCAATGACACCATTATAAAGGAAATCTAAATTCATCAAATTCTTTAGTTGAAGTGCATCAAATCCTTTATAGATAGATAAATAAACATCACAGATTTAATGTATTTGATGTAAAAGTAATCACCAAATTATAGATACCAGTAAAACTTAAAACTGGTGTCAACACTCCAATTTACTGAGCTAATATTTGATCAATGGGGTAAGAAGTTGAAGTTAGAATATTTAATTTTAGATTTCTAAAGATTTTGTGTAATTAAAAAGTTTTAGATTATGTTTATATGTTTGAACAAAAAGGAAATTCATTCTATATAGGCTAACCAAATATCATTTGAAAAAGTTTCATTAAATGTTGACTGGAAGTTTTGGGAAAAGGTTCATTCTTTAAATTTTGATTTTTCCTTGATATGAAATATCGTCTTTCAAACTTTTTTAAATGGTTAAATAAACAAGGTCAAACTTTTAAGGTGTATTAGAAATGTTAATCTGAAATAAAAATTTGGCAACGGTACCTTAATAATAGGATGGGATGGTATTCCTAATGCTAGTATTGATAAACAAAAATGTTCAGGGTTGCATTTTGAATTTTTGTTTTGTCTTTGAACTTATAAGATTTCCACTCCCAAATGTAACTAAGTTCTATATATTGTACTTTTAATCAGACTTTGCTTGTTATTTAAAAAACTTATTCACTGATGAGGTCAGAGGAAAATTGCAAATGGACATAACCATTTCTATACTCTTTTGCTGAACTTGAGCAGTGGAACAATAGATCTGCCATTAAGTGCTGAATAATTTGTGTATTGGTGGACTGTTAATATGTATATATATGACCTACTTGTGGCTAAATTGACTTTGACCATTACATATCTACAGGGAATATACTAATTGACATAATGTCAGAATGTTTACTGACATAAATCAGCCCAAGGTTGTAGGTGTATGGAGGTAATACATAATGTACTGATTTATAGTTTATAACTGTAGTTTTGATGGTCATTTATAGATTTTTGGACACACTATGTGGAGATCTCCTCCTACATGTTGTTGTATAGCCTTTAATATTTTATTATCAGCTAACTGATTTGTACAAAACAATAATTGTGACAATGTCCTGTATTCAATATTGCAAATACTTAACAGATATCACTCCTTTATGATTTATAAATTGGGTGAGTTTAACCTACTTTTGACCATTAAAATGGTTCAGTGTTTGATTGACCTCATTAATCAAGCAAAATTTCTATAGTATTGCATTTATAAATACCATTGATATCCAAAGTGAATGAGCTAGGTCATATAAAATGTTTAAGTACCTGTACTTTTCCTTATGATTGGTAAATTGAAGTTTGCTGGTTTCTTTGTTTGATAAATGTTTGATCTTCCAACTGGAAATTGACACTGCATTGCACACTTTGTGAATGAAGTCTCTCAAAAAGATGAATGAATAGATCTATCCTATTTGCACTTTTGAATTCTGAAGATCATTAGCTGTTATATAATACTTACATATACTTAAATAATGTCAATATTTGACAATGATTTTACCTGATGGTTGCAGGTGTAGATCAAAGATATCCTTAATGCTAATTACCAAAAGTAAATGTAGCATGACCCCCTACAAGATTGATTGATTATTGATTATGGACAGGTGTGTTCAGGTAACAAAGAAAGGTGTGTCATTATAATTAGAATGTCAATATTCCTCACATTATCTTAAACCTGTGAAAACACTTGAAGGGGCTAATCTTCTTAGATATTTTGGAGTATTTAGACAATGACTTGTTTGTGATAAAGCTATTTGGAAAGATAACTTTGTTTATACTTGCTAAAGACAATGAGGAGAAAGGTTGGTGTTTTATTTCTCTTTTGTTCATGTGATAACCATCAAAGTTATTTTGTTATGTTGTTATTACAACATGTATTTGAATTTTACCAGATATGTGTTATGAAGTTTCTTGTAGTTCTTATGTTCTTATTTTAAATGTTATTGGAATTCAAGAAAGTCCATTTAAAATGGATGTCTAGAGAAAAATTAAAAGACAGGATATTTTAGATAAACGATTTTAAATGACGAAGGAGTCACCAACCTTAGACTGTCTATGTACTATCACCTAAAATATACATTTTTTTGTGCATTTAATAGGCGTATTTTTCAAAATTGATAACCGATTCAGATTTTATTATTGTAAGTCTAGTCAACTTTTCTTCCATAAACAGGATAAGCGATGTTCCTATTGTGTTATGAAAAGACGCAGATATTTACATTTGTGATTTATTTCTTATGATTGTAGTTTTATGACACAAGAATTCTATAATCCATGTTTATGTATTTTGTAAAGATTTTGTATGCGGTGACAGCCTGAGTTGTCACCTTTATATATTCTGTATTTGGCACATAGATTGTTATGAATATTCTTGACGTAAGTGTTGCATGACTTTTATAATGTGTTATCTGTATGAATTTTTATTAGGCCAAATTTTTTAACAGTTTGATTTCTATCTCATCTGGATTGTTGCGTTATATGAAATATATTAAATTAAAATTGTTGAGCTTTTTTAAAACATTTAATAATTGAATATGTTTCTGTATTTGTGAAAGAATGAATTGTTGAGCCATTTAAATATATATAAAATAATTGAATAAATTTCTGTATTTGTAAAAGAATGGACAATATACTAGTGTTTTCTATGTATATTGTATCATACTTTGTAAAGAATCACTTTCTTCTATCAGTCTGAGAAATGGCATGTTCAGGTAAAAGAGGCACTGTCATTATATTTGAATATCTAAACTAGGTTTTTCTCATTATTGAAGTCCGTAGGGTTTCCTATAATTGCTTTCATCCACTTCATTTGAACTTTGGGGTATAGTTGTCTCATTGGCAATATATAATACCACATCTCTTGATTTTTATATGGATGATTTTTTTACCATATCAAAGAAATCCTTTGTTTTTCATTTCTCCCTCTTCATCCATGGTGTTTCACCTTTAGTATGCATTTAAATATGTTCTCATCTTGAAATTGCATGAAATATTTGAAGTGAATCCTACAACAAGCAAAGGAAAATATAATAGCCATACTTTATACATTGATCAATAATCTGTTATAAAGAGGCTACATTTGTGAGTGACATATAGCAAGCCAAGTATCATTTATGTGAACCTTAATTCTTGAAAAAAATTCTGAAAAATAACTGGATTATAAAAGTCTGACTCAACCATTGTATTCATAGCACCCTTTTTCAAGGATGTAGATATTGCAGAGAAAATATTTTAAGATTTGATACTGCTAGGACAGCTTGATAATAGTTTGTTTTCTGTCTTTTCAGTTACCAGGTGGAGTGGACTTAACCTTGACAGAGCTCCAGGACATGGCTGCTCGACAACAACATCAGATTGAAAGTCAGCAGCAAGTCCTGGTTGCTAAGGAGCAAAGACTCAAATTTTTGAAACAACAAGAACAAAAACAACAGCAAATCACAGTAGAAAATGAACGATTGAAAAAGTTACGAGACAAGATTGAAACTCAAGAAATGAAACTCAGAAAGTTGAGGGAGCTCAGAGGAGAGGTTGAAAAACAGCAAAGTAACAATGGAAATTTAAGTAAGTACACACAAATGGACACAATCTGAAACTAATTTGCCTTTTCAGAATCTAAAGGACTATGGGTAATCTCATTGTTCGTACACCAAAATGAAAATAACGTTACGGCATTGGTCGAATTTGCACTGTTAATTCGTTTTAAATCAATCACAACGTTTGGGTGTACGCTTTTGAAAATATTACCTAGAATGCATTAGATTTTGAAACGGCGAATTGAGACTTATTTTTCTTAGTCTCACATTGCTTTGGCATGGAAACTCGGCTAAGGAAGAGATCCGGTTTTAACATATTTTGTTTGGGATTGGTATGGAGTTTTAGCAGTGTTTCAGTTATATGAATGACTAAATTAAGGGATTGAGTCTTTTACTTAGAAACTATATTCATTTACCTTCTTGGTCAAGAAATATTTATGACCCATTTACTCAATTGCTGGGCATATTATTTTTTAGAGATTCTCTAGTCTGTCATTCTGAAATCCAACAGTTTTGTTTGGGATGAACTGCTATTTACAAAACTTTGGAAACGTTCTGTTATTCTGCAAGTGGGAGTTTTGTGTGTCCTGATGCATGTAGTTTATTTTGAAACAAAAGTCATTTGCCAGGAGCTTCAGTTGTGTTGCCAATGAGAGCAATGGTGTAATACATGCAGGTTATTGAAAACCAAAACGTTTCAAATTGAAGTTTATTTAAGCACTGATCGGCCAATATCATATCATTGCTTTAGCAGGAAAAAATAAGTGTGAAGTATTAAATTATTTGGATTTATTCTGCACTAACAGAAAATCAGGATATTTGTGTTTCCAAATTTATAACTTCCGTTGTGTGGTGTTATTTATTTACCCACTAACTTCCCTAAAAACAAAATGAATATTATAATCCAATAGGATATTACATTGTAAAGTTGTTTTAAGGATTATCATTATTGTCATGTTTATCGGAAACATTTTTTTTATAGTGTAGAAAGATTTTGATAACATTTCTATAGTTAGACAGTAAACTTTCATATATTTTAAATATAGAACCCACTTGACATGATTCAAAATCATTTGATAATCTCATATTTATATTAAATTTAATATTTAAGTATTTTTAGAGATAGTAAATTTATTTCTTCAGATTCAGAGCTCGATAGTGTTAAAGCGTTGTTTACTGAAAAAGAGAAAGAATTAGTGATGGCAGTGGCCAAAGTGGAACAATTAACACAACAATTAGAAGAAATAAAAAAAGACAGAGCAAATCAGAAAAATGGAGAAAAAAGTGCTGCTGCAATTGAATTAGAAAAACTAAAGCAAGAATTGATGGTAAGTGAGACTATACTGCAATAAATCTAATATTTTTGCAGGAAAATGTGACTTTTTTTATTATTACATTGTACCAGACATTGAAATATAGGCAAACTTTTAACTTTCAAAACTGCACTATTAGTCTTGCCTGTTGTGATAGGGTGCTACTCTCAAGTGTGGAAGGTCATTGGATTTATCTCTGCTAGGGAAAACTAAAGACTTGTAAATTGGTGTTGCTACTTTTCTGCTAAATACACTGCAATTTGGAGTATTGGCAAGGACTGGTCTGCTGAGAGTCAGAGTAATGTGTCAGAATATGATGACACGTCTTCCTGTGAACTGCTACTTTGTGAACTAGCATCTTAATAATCTGGCACTGCATGTCAGCTTAGTACAAAACATGGTTCTTATTCATATCACACCAACATGTTCTTGACCTGATATGCATGCAATATTTGCCACTGGACATTATAAACACTTAACTCATCATTATCAAAGTTTCATTTTCCATCTATCCTGAACAAAACCAATTAAATTAGGTGATTTTTTGTATGTATGTGGTATAGTACAAACAAAGAATATTTTGAAGAACTGTCTGGAACAATTACTAGAATACCTTGGCTCACACTGTGAAAGTTGTCACTTTCATACAAATATCCATATTTTTAATAGGAAAGTATTAATATTTGAATAAGTTTCTACAAGAGTTGTAAGCATAGTAACATAGACAAAGTAGAATGTAATTCCTTAAACGTTGTATTAAAAAACACTATAATATTTATAAACAAGTTAAAAAATTATTTGAATTTTGCAAGTCATATAATTTAAACAGTGCATGTATCGATTAAGAATGCAGATAGTATAATTACACTGTATTTATTCAAAATGTAATTTTGATACTTAGAATAATTTTAAAACTTTGCATTACATAAAAAATTCTATTGAGACATGCATAAAGAGTTCTTAGAAATATTCTATAAATGAAAAAATATTTTCATATTTTATTTTTAGTTGAGAAATAAAATGAATGAGCAACAGAACTCTAAGTTGAATGCCCACAGGGAAATGTTAAGTAAAAGAAAGGATGAAGTATCCAAAATGGATAACAGAATTCAAGAACTTCAGCAAAGATTAAAGAAAAAAAAGGCTCAGCAAGCAGAACAACATAAGCAAATGGCCAATCAAAACAAAGGATCAAATCGACCAATTGGATCAAATATTGCTGCCATTGAGCCATATATACAATACTCAAATAAACAAGAAAATGGTGATATTGATTTGAAATCAGAGTTTGCAAAGCAAGACCCAAAATATCAAACTCTTCCAACAAATACAAAGTTTTCTTTACCTGAAAAGTCGAAAATTTCAAAAGATAACGAGGGCAAAGAACAAAATAATAATAATACAACAAAACAAGAACAGATCAGAATTCCGTTAAGCGTTAATGTTAATTCAGACTCCAAAACTGTGCAAAATGGATTTTCTCAAAATCAGTTATCAAGTTCAATAATAAAAGCTGCTAAGCGGCATCAGAGTATGTCTACAACATCAACTACAAACAGTATTTCACAATCATATTCTGCTCCCCCACCGATACCAGCTAGAGCAGCTACAACAAATCTGACATACTTAGCACCCAGACCATTTGGTACAACTTACAGTACTAATGTGTTAACAAACAGGATACATGCACCTGTGTCTTCCGTCAATGTGAACGAGGAAGTTCGAACAAGTGGAAGTGGACAAAGTTCACCAGCATCGAGTGAAGGTTCTCAGAAAGAAATAGCACATGATATGCATGGAACGTTAATAAATGATCCTTTACAACCAACTGGTGCTCCTACTGTCTATGTTAAACATGGACAGGAAACTAATTCTCAGCAAAAATCACATGATCAAGTGGATTCTTCTCGCTTTATCGGTACTAAAAATAAGGTAGAAAATGGACATTCATCAGCAAAAGATTCACCACCGAATTCAAATTCTGGTGGCTCAGACAATTCATTGAATAGTGTTCCAAATGGTGGTACATCAACCAACATCTCAAAACAGCCTCTAAGGTATGCATCCAAGAATCTTATAGCAAACACTTACATGGGTCGTTTAGGAGCTGAAGCCATGAAAAAATATCAACAAAATTTTAATATGTTATATAGTGGTGAAGCAAGTGAGAAAACAGACAATAAAAAGGATTTGGAAACAAAGGATCAAAATAAAAATGACAATGTTAAGTCACAGGGCAGTCCGCTATCACCAACACGGCACGGACATCAACCTCAACATGGATTACATTCTCCAGGATCTCCACATTATACAGACATTGCTTCAGATAAAGTCAGTCACAATCGGAATACACCAAGGACTATTAGACGAAGACATTCTGATAGTGAAAATGAAGATATGACTAAACTGCTTCATAAATATAATGTTCATTCTCCACAACATCAACAAAATGCATTTAATTTTAACAATATGCAGCATGAAACACAGGCTACTTCATTCATGGATCAAATTCCAGAAAAAGTGCCTGTAGATGATTTGGGAAATTTAGTGGATGTACAAATGACAGATGATAAAAATAGCGATTCAAATACTTCTTCCTCCATTTCGCCAGTAGAAAGTCCAAAAATAGAACAAACCACAGTTGTTCGGAGGAAGAAAACGAATTTGAAACATGCAAATTCTATCAAAAATGCAAACCGTGTTAGTTTCGATCCATTAGCCTTGTTGTTAGATGCTTCTTTGGAAGGAGAATTAGAATTGGTGAAAAGATGTGCTAGTCAGGTTTGTAGATATATTTTATTCTGTTCTGACAGTATGAAATTTAATTTAAGTATTGGAATTTTAGTTAAGTTACAAGATATGATTATTTTGGTTTCAATTGATATTTTATTACAATTCAGCTTCTTTCTTTTTCTTTATTTGTTGTATTATGTATTGTCATCTGTTTTATCTGCCATGCCAGAACATTCAAATAATATACATGATATAAATAGGAATTGACATTTTACGGACAAAATTTTTTTTTTTTCATATACCGGTAATATATACAGTCTATTATACTTGTTTTTGCTTCACTAATCACAGTGATGAATTGCTGTAAAATCACTAATTCTTCAAACATAATACAATTATTCCTTAATTTATCAAATAAAAGGGTCAAGTTCAGGAGTTTCTGAAAATTGAATTTTAGTGTAAAAGTTGTTATACAGTTACACCCATTAGAATTACCAGTAGTAATTATGTCATAATTGTATTATTAAAGTGTTACATGTATAAACACTAAAGATTTTCTGCATTGTCATAGTTTTCCTGCGATAAGTAGGGCAAAGAGTTTTTTTTTTAATTAACTTGTGCAATGTTGCAGCAACTCGATGGAGTTCAATGCACTTAAGTCCATGAATTTATATATTAAATCGACTCTACAAACATTACATTTGTATCATATAAATTTTATTTCTCACATTCAACATTTTATTGTCACACAGAATGATATAATGAAAAAAATTGTAATATTTTTGTCTACTTTCATCATGTTCATCAAATTTTTCAACCATTTAAAGTTTTTAAAAAGGAATTAAAAAAAGGTTTCTAATTTTGCATGCCTAATGAAATAAATTTAATATGTAAAGTTTAAGAATGTCATATTTTAAAATTAAAGATTCTGTTAAGTACATTTTATTAAAGTCTTTATTGAACAGAAACTTTGTACAAAAGAGTAATAACTTGTAATGTGATGTGCACAAAACTGGTAAATACTAGTTACAACTACTTCTTTAAAGTAGACATATGGAAACAACAGCAAACCATGATAGAAGTATGACCATTTGGCAGCCTTTCTGGTCAATAAAAAATATTTTCTTACTTCCACTTTTTGAATACTCAGTGTTCTCCCCAGAATTTTCAAATAGCACCATGGAAATTAACATAGCACTGGTTTTCCAAAAAATATAGCACCATGGCCCCTATACATTCTATTATAAAATCATCCAAGATAGCACCAGGGTACCATGGTGCTTTAAGGCCCTGGGGAGAACACTGACACTGATGCTTATGTAGGTCAAATGTTTATTTCCTGACAGCATTTTTAGACAGGAAATACCAAAGTACTTTCCATCTGATATTTCTAACAGTGAAAGTAGATTCCTAAGTGAAACATGGTTGAATATTAAGTATGTCATGTGTGTGTTGAAGATTCTGTGTTATAGAAATTGTAAGCAATCTTTATCCACTCAGTGTAATGTTGGTAGTAGCTTTTTGTCGACTGTAAGAGTTATTGTGTTGACAATAGTTTGTTAATTGTACGAGAGTTAATAGCCTTTTTTAGCTGTACGTCTTGTTACATTTGAGACATTAAATTAGATGCCCCTTGTTTTACCATCCTTTTTGGATCTCTAATATGATTCATTGTTTAACATGTTTTCACCCTGAATAAGGATGTAATATTTGTCACTGGACATCAAGTCTATAATTGTTTTCTATTTACAGGTAGCTAATGTAAGTGAGTCAAACGATGAGGGAATTACAGCATTACATAATGCAATATGTGCTGGTCATTATGATATTGTCACTTTCTTAGTGGAGTTTGGTTGTGATGTAAATTCTCCTGATAGTGATGGATGGTAAGTTTTTAATGTACAGCTACACTACACAAAATTCATTTGTACATTCCACAAAAAAATTTCATACTTTTTGTCAAACTTTACTTTGCTTTAAGCAATATCCGATAACTTTGGTTATAGGCAAGACGTAACATAAAATACATCTAAGCTGATGGTTGCTAGTGTTTAGTTGTGACACTTGAAAATGGTAATCAATTGCATTTCACTTTATTTATGACTCTTATGGCAGTTTCAGGTACGGTACCCTCTATTTCGCCTTTATTTTCATATTGTAGCTTTATACTGCAACTGTAATAGTTATGTCAGTTCATCAATCTGATCCACAATTAAATCCAGTGTGGCCAGACATTGATTTATACAAGTTTTTTGTTTTTTTTTTTATTCAAATGCTAAAGATCTAAAAAGAAATATATTTATCGTGATATTAAGATATTGACAAAAAATGATGACATCTAGTTATTTTGATTGATTTTATAAACATTATGAACATAATAACAAATAAACAACTGTACTACACATGCATGGAATTGTTGGGACAAAACTATGTAGTGATTGATATCCTAGTCATTCAGTCTTGAAATAATTGCTTCATTCATAAAATATGTTTTTGGTGGGTATACTAGTGCAATATGATCAAATATGTATTTTTTAATATTAATGACAATTTATCTTAGCACTATACATGAATTTTAAATCCTTGAGTTGTAATCTTTGTGCATTAAGATGCTACCATTGCAGAAGTTTTCAATTTAAGAAAATTAATTTTCTTTTTTTTAGAAATTAGGCTGTTAAAATAGATATTGTTAAATAGGTACAGAATGGGCCAATATTCTAAGATTTCTTTGATATTTAATCAACTTAACTTACTTTCTTTCAGGACTCCCTTACATTGTGCAGCTTCATGTAACAATTTACCGATGGTAAAATTCTTAGTAGAACATGGAGCATGTATTTTCGCCACAACAATCAGTGACCAGGAGACGGCAGCAGAGAAATGTGAAGAGGAAGAGGAAGGATTTGATAACTGTTCTGATTATCTTTATAGTATGTATTCATTAAGTATATGGGGGCTCACATTTCATGAGTACAACAGTCTTGTAGGAGGTAAGGGAAAGGGTGGTCACAAAATTTGAAAAAAAATCTTACTATATCTAAATTGCTTTGCTAGATTATACAATTTTTTGATAAATGGAATTTGTATGTAATTTTTCAACATTTCAATTAATAAAATACATGATGAATGACGGCTTGGAGACAGACCGAGATATATTGGAGTGTAAAAGATTTCTCCTTATATTATTCTTCAGATCTGTATTTTCCTGTTTCATATAAAGTAATTCTTCTCAAACAATACATTGATAATGTTTACATTTGTTTTTGAAAAAAAAAAATAGAAGAGTTTGAAATGTTCACACAAAATTTATGTAGATATTGTTTCGAGTTCTGATTGGTCATTTATTTGAAAATATACACTTTATTTTTTAACAAAACAGTTCAAATGTACAGATTTTTGCCTATTTGAGTATACAAGAGTTATTTCCCCTTTATAATTGAATATTTATTGATATTGTAGGTATACAGGAAAAACTGGGTATCTTAAATAACGGTGCAGTGTACGCTGTTTTTGACTATGATGGCCAAAATTCAGATGAACTTAGCTTTACTATTGGAGATGAAATAACAGTCCTTAAAAAGGGAGATGAACATGAAAAGGAATGGTGGTGGTCCAAAATCTCACAAAAGGAAGGATATATACCCAGGAATTTAGTAGGGGTAGGTAGCATTCAGTTTCTTAACTATATGATTTTCTTTTTTAAAAAGTTTCAAAAAAAATTGATTAAAAAATCTGTTTTACAGTATTACAAATGTAATTTAAAAGTAAAAAAAATACCAATAAACAATATGATAAACCTGATGGATTGAAATCAGTATTATTAGAAATGAATTTTCATTTTATTTTGCTTATTGAATTTTTTAAATATTTTCAGTTATACCCAAGAGTATTACCAGACCAGTCCTCCTCAGATAGCTGAGATTTGTAAAATTTACCAGACAGACAAAAGTGCTATTCAATAGGGCCTTATCAGATTTATAACGGTGCTCCAGAGACTTAGTAGATCTGATTTCCATGTGAGAGAGTGTATTTATTGATGAGAGACAGTGACAGATGGATGTTGAAAATTTTGTGCAATAACGATCAAATTTGTATACACAGGCATTGTAAAATAGATTTTTATATATCATTGTTTTATATACTTTACATTATGTTTGTATCATTTTGTATGTCAAAAAATTTCTTGAGTGAAACATTAATCATTTATTCATTGTTCTTTAATAGATGGGTTTCGATTGACAAAATTTGAAAAAGAGTTATTTTTTCCCTTTTGTCGCCATTTTGGAGGTCTATCTGCACAAATTCATTCATAATTCAGCCAAATACAACATGTTATACTGACTGCTAGACTTAAAAAAATAAAACAACTTTAATTTCTTTAAGCCTTGCTTGATTCATCATTTCGATCTAGTAAGGATCTCTTATCAGACTTTGTTGTACCACATGTTAACTTTTGGTTAGTCAAATAAGAAAATGAACCAATTACCCCTCCAAAATGGTACACAAGGGAAATAACTCAAATTCAAATTTTGTCATATTGAAAACTCTCTATAATTGTACTTAAATAAAACAAAATATGTAGGTTACAACTGTCACATCATCAGATATCTTGGCTCTTCTTTATTGTTGCACTAAACATTTTTTAATGTTTTTGTATACTGTGAATTATAATTATTCATCAATATCAAGGTTGGCTTTTGATGTGAAATAAAAAGAAAAACTACAAATGGAAAAAACTTAGTGGATAAAAATTTTTGATTTATTTAATGTACTGACAAAATAATAGAAATGTGTTATCAATTGAAGTAAAAATAAATCTTCTGTGTTAACATTTAAAGCAAGGGCAGGAGTTGCATGTTTTTCAGTGAACTAATCTTTGGGGTTTTTGTGGGTTTTTTTTGTGGTATGTATGAATTGTGAAAAATCATACTCTATGAAAACTAATCTCTGATTGTAAAATTCATTAATCATTAATTTTAAACTGTGAAAACAGGTCCTCATGAATATTTTGATGTTTTTATTCCAAATATTTTGTGCGGTGATGTTTATAAAAGACAAGCTATTTATTAACATTTATTTAATAGAAAATTACAGTTAATATGTCATTTTAATACACAGAGATTCAACATAAATTTTATAAATAATAATTGTATTTTGGAACATATAGTGTGACAGCTATTTTAGCAGGTGTCTTAAGTAACCAAGATATCTTTATCATTATCATACTCAGGGTTATCAAAATAACCAAAGGATCATCACATTGTCTATGCAATAGAAGATTTGTTAGGTTGTTATCGATTGTCAGAAAGTGCCAGATTTTTATTGGTCAGAATAGATTTATGAAAATATTTTTTGTCTTGTGTTTTTTTCATTTTCTTTAAAATGTCATATGTTCAAGAAGATTACCAGGTATTTGTGTGAGAAACAGTTCAAAGATTAGCATAAAAAAAATTGTCTAAAGGTCACAATATTGCAATTACCTCAAAGATATTTCTCTAAAAAAAAACCGGAATGAGACATCATTCTCATAGCAATCAGATAATTTTTTTGACTGCAATGAACAGCAATGGTGAGAAAAAATTAGGGAATTTGTAATTTACTTTAATGATGAAATATTTCCAATATTTAGTCATGTTATTGAAACAAACCCAATATTACAAAGAATGAGCAGCTAATATCTACTTCTCACCATAGCTTTTTATTACAGTGAACCAGTAATATTTCCAGGAAAAGGGGATAACTCATATCAAATTTTAATTTTGCAGCCCAATTCAGGCTTTCTAAGACTTGTGAGAAAAGGCTATAGCATTCAATGAGGAGGGTTCAGCTTCAAATGGCTTTAAAAAAGAATACCATTATAAACAAGATTTCATGTCCATAGGACGCCATGCCCTTCTTACACTATCACATTTCCATGTTTAGTGAACCACAAAATCTGGGTCTAAATCTTACTAGGTATATGTATTTAAAAATTCACATCATAATTAACATGTGTATTGGTACTAAGGTTCAAGTTGATGTGAACACAACTTCATGGTAATGTACCATAAAACAACTTTAAGTGAAATCCGGGTCCAAATCCTTATTAGCACATATTTCAAAAAGTGACAACTTCATAGTAAACTACCTTGAAGAAAAAACTTGAACCTGAAAAGTGATTGGCTGATTGAAGGAGGCACAACAGGAAAGCTAAATAATTATCATAATAGATTATTTATTTAAAGAGGGTCAACACAGTTAGTTACAACAAACTAATCTTCCCTGAGGCCCTCTCATACAATACAGCCAAAAAATAGATTATTAATACAAAATAATACATTCTAAAAAAGTTACCAGCATATATGAATTTATTTTGACTATACAGTATGGGTTTTGCTCATTGTTGAAGGCTGTGTGGAGACCTATAGTTGCTTGTAACTGCTTCATTTAGACTGGTGGTAATCATTCTACATCACCTTTATTTTTAAGTGTATATTATCAAGACTGTGTCAAGTACTTCTTGATACAAGTGTTTTGCACTTTACACATTTTGTATGGTAGTCCATTCCATAGAACTGATCTAGAATAAACAAATAATTTCTTGAATAGGTCAACTTTTGGCTTAGAAACTATCAGATTATCCTGGAGCCAAAACAATTTTTGGAGTAATTTCAGAAAAGCTGAAAGAAAAAAATCCTAAATGGGCATAAACCATATAGATGGTGACAACTTCTGACATGATTCTTGAATGGGGACAGGCACATTGACGCATGACAATTTTGATTAGTAGTAACTCTCCCCCTTTGTTTGTCTGCCAATGACCAAATGAAGGAGCATTGATAATATTATTATCCAAATATCTAATATGAATGCAGTGAGATGTGGGGTATAGGTCAATGAGCCTCCACAAAAAAACACATGTTTACAAATTATATGTAGAGGTCACTGTGTGACCTTTAGTTTTCAATCCATCCTGTGGAAATACATGGGTATACATTTTTGTGTTTTGTGAATTTGTTTTTTAGGTTAGTGGGTTTTAAATTTGAAAAAAAAACTCAATGGAAAATATGTTGTTTGGTACTAGAGATATCCACCAACAATAAAACCTACATACACTTTTAAAATCGATCTAACAAAGATCATTGATTTCAATAAGATTAATGATTCAGAAGACAAAAATAAAGCAGCATGGAACACAAAACTAGACAAAACTATTAAAGAATGATTGCAATTACTGAAAATAAGCTAAAACCACTCTATCTGAATATCATACTTAAATTCTAAAGGAAATATCTGCCATAATAAGTTATTTATACTTGACTAAGTAGTTCATGTTTGATGTTCAGATATGGTTTTTATTAGAAATAATGATTATGATGTCTATCGAAGACGTATCCAACATCCGAACATAGTTCTAGTAGTATCGGTAGAAAGTGCACGAGTCAGAATTGCGTCTTTTCCTATTACTTACTATCACGAGTAATCTGACCTTGTTTCTAGGTACTGTTTACTTTGAGTTATATATTAAATGGGCAGAAGAATTTTAAAATGGACCAATTAACCATTTATTGGACAGTTGAAGACATCTTGACTTTTCATACAAAGGTTAATGCAACTCAACTCATGCCTGTGAACATTTAAAATCAATTCATTGTTATACAATCTCCACATAAGAAATCTATCCCAGAAATAAATGAAATTGACATATATCAGTTGCGATATGCAGGATTTTAGGAACCTCTAAATTTGGATTTCACAAAAATTTCTTTGATGTATCACGTGCAGTGTATGTCTATTTTATGCATATTTTGTAAACTATAAGCCTGTATCATTTAGTTATACACTTGCATATACATGTATATATATATATGACATTGCTATAACTAAAACAACTTTCTATGATTTTATTTTTAAAAAGTAAAAGCATCATTAATAACAAACTTTAATCAAAATAATGCATGTGTATCATTAATAATATTATAAAAAAACAATTGAAAACTTTAAAAAATGCAAGTAGGTGAATATCAGATATCTGGTGTGAGATGCAAAATTTTGGAATCCTAAAATTTATCAATTTCCAGGAAAATTTCACTGAAGTGAGGTGAGGTGAACTACCTTTTTTATGCAAATTTTGTAAAATATGAAGAAAAACAATTTTCCACGATTTCTTTTTGTAAAAGGTAAAGACATCATTAAAAACAAACATTTATCAAAAAATATATCATAAATTACATTCTAAAAAACAATTCAACAAGAAAATAAAGTATTAGTACAATGTAAATATCACAGATATATTGAGTTTTATGTATAAAAAGTACATTTTTCATCTGCTTTTCCTCTATTAGTATGACAAAGTTAGTTAAAAATCGTCCAGCAGAGAAAAATTGCAAATATATAAACATAATAAAAAATTTTAAAATGATAAGAAAAAAAGTATTCCCGTTCCTTATTACTGATACAATGTCACAGAAAATTGATCTACAGAAAAATAAGTTATACATAAAAATGATAACAGGTTGTATAAAAATATTGGACAGTACAACCACCACGAGGGGGGGGGGGGGCTCTTCCTATACAAAGGTATACACAGATGTGCCGCTGGTATGGGTCTCTTTTTTGAAATGTCAAATATATCAATAGGGTGTATTTCACGGAGGTAGTATAACAATGGCTGGAAATTTATGTCAATGGGTCATAAATGTTCTTCTTCTGTTAAGATGTGTGTTCTGATCATTTTGTCGAATACTATGAATGATCCCATGTGATTAACGTCTCATAAGAATAGATGGGAAATTTTTTAAATGGGTTGTGATATTCCTATGATATATATGAATTGGTAGGGATTTTTGCATAAATCAATATATGAATGGTGGTGGGTTTTAAATCCCAGCTGGACGTCTGAACCCAAATTTGTACATTGAGACCCCCCCCCCCCCCCCCACAACAACCCACTCCCTCGAGAAATAATAAACATACAAAGACGAACAACAACAAGCATCATACAGTCAAGATACACTTCCTTGTACATTCCCTGATACAAATGTTATGATAATAATAAAGTGTTTCTGTACAACTTGGAGCATTGAATTGTAGTGTAGAATATTAAATACATCCAACTCACTCACTCAATAATGTATCATTATTTATTGCCAATGATTTACTACTAATTGCTAAATGTAAGACATCTTACATCTAATATGATTGTGTTACAAGCTAAACTTAAACACTACCAAATAATTCTTCAAATAACACATACAGTAAAATGTTGACCAGGATATGCAAAGATCTGCTCTTTTCATCATTTTATCACTGAAATGATATTATATTGTTATTATCTCTCCTTGACCTTCTGTCCTTCATAATGTTAAATTGTGTCTGTATAAGATCTGCTCTTGTCATCCTTCCATCACTGATATGATATTATATTGTTGAAAGCCCTCCTTGACCTATCCGTCCTTCACAATGTTAATTCATGTCTGGGTTGGATCTGCTCTTGTCATCACTCTATCACTGATATGATATTATATTGTTATAATCCCTCCTTGACCTTTCTGTCCTTCAGAATGTTAATTCTTGTTTGGTTGTAATTTTATGCTGTCCACTGTTGGTTCATGATAGATAGCTTCCTGAATTTTTTCCAACCATAATTTCATATTATCCTATAAAAAATATTCTTTTAACACTCTTTTGTCAGATTTTGAATGACGATTTAATAATTGTTCAATATTATCACATTAAACTATCATGTAAGTTTATAATAAGCATGTCAATTCTTATTACTTCCAATGATGTTTACTATGAACAGAATAGATTAGCCACCATATGCAGTGGAAGATAGGTTGGCAAGGGGGTGCATAAGCATGAAACTGACCTATAGAGCCTAATTTGTTATATTTTCATTTTTTTAATTAAAAAATTTAAAAAATTTCAGGAAAAACTTACTTCCTTTCCCTCCTTTCCACTGAATATGATGGCCATTTCAATAATTCTAAAATTTCTTATGTTCTTCCCAAACTTTGCAGTACAATACACAAAGATCGATCATAGAAGGAATTTCTAGCTGCTTCATTTATGCATTATGACAATTTTAATAGAATAACTCTCATGCAAAATCACAATTTCTCTTTTTTTTTTTTCAAATGAAAACAACACTTTCTAAATTTCATGCGCTAAAGCGCTTTTCTGGATTTACCTTCATCAGGAATGCTCAAAGCCAAAAATTTGAAAATATGACCAAAAAGGACATAAAAAATAGCCAAATCCATCTGATGTCGACTTTGCCTGAGGGAGTTGAAACCTTTTAATTTTTTTTTAATAGTTGTTCTTATGTTGTACTGTTCCACCACTTTCCCAGGTAAAGGGGAGGGTTTGGCGCAAGCAAATATTTTTAACCCCACCACATTCTGAATGTGCCTGTCCCAAGTCAGGTGCCTGTTATTCAGTGGTTGTCGTTTGTTGGTGTATATCGTATTTGTTTTTTTTTTTCTTAAATCAGGCCGTTAGTTTTCTTGTTTGAATTGTTTTACATTTGTCAGTTCAGGGCCTTTTATAGCTTACTATGCAGTATGGTTTTGCTCAAAGTTGAAGTCCATACAGTGACCTATAGTTGTTAACCTCTATGTCATTTGGTCTTGGTGGAGAATTGTTTCATTATAAAATTATACCATATCTTCTTATTTTTATAACATAAGACCATCAAGGCAGTTCCAGGATTTCAGAAGAAGGAATAGAGAGTGAGGTATAAAAACAACACTCTATGAATTCATAAGAATTATAACTATTTAATGTATAAACAAACCAGACTATGCGTCTTAAACAAGAATGAGCCACCATTTTGCAGTAGAATTCTGAACACATATTTTTTCCTCTTATAATTATCTACATGATGTACTTCAGCATTAATCAATGATATTACTGGATGCTGAGGTAATTTCAGTTTTTCATATATTCCTAAGTCCTACAAAACATAAAACATAACACAATCAAAGGAAGAGATGTATCCACTACAAAGGATGAAAAATTCCAACTAAAGTGGATTAATTAATATTCTTCGGATACCAGTTTTCGGGGACTACATTGGCAGGGGGAAACCATGAATTTAAATACTCGACAATATACTATTTTTTAGTTACTATGTTAGGAGCAAATGATAAAACAAAGAAATTATGAACCCTCAAAATACAGTCAAACCAGTATATAAAAGTCACCATCAGGACCAAAGAAAACTGACCTTAATAGAGAGGTGACAGAAGAGGATTACCTGAGAAGACAGGTTTTCTTTAACAGAGGTGACCTTTATAGAAGGTTTAACTGATTGCATTTTTTTCTGCAACCCCGAAAACTAATACCAACGAAAATAAACGAATTCACAGTATATCAGGATCATTTTGTTTTTAAACTCAAAAGGTAGGGTTAACCAAAATATATTTGGTTTCTTGAATAAATTTCACTGCCTTGACAAAAATTTGAAGTATCTTGCCAAAGACACATAGATAGCCTAGGTCTTCCAATCACAATTTCCACAAATGTTATACTTTTTGGCACCAATAGACTATCAGTAGATCAAAATAAATGTATATTTAAAGCTGTACAAAACTTTATTATAAGTTGCAATCGATTCACATCTACAATCGAATACCTCTATTATCTACTCCCTTCAATAGAAATATTTTCCCTTCTGTAATAATACCGTCATATTTCTAAACACCTTTATTCTTCCCCCTGATCAAACTTTTTTAAATATGTAATCACACATATAACATCCAAAAAAGATCTTTATTTAGTTTATAGTACTGTAAGTTCAGAAATTATTTTGTGCATTTATCATTGCGATTTTGTTATTTTAGACCAAAATGCGATTACTGTTTTTGCGATACTGAGAAAAATCCCACTTCATTCATTATTGCGATTACAACCCTGTCCCATTTCATGCAATAATAAAAACATCTCAATAATTTCCAATTTTACAGTATTCCTTATCTGTATTTTTTCATACACATTCATCTGCCTATCAGCATGTAAATATAGTTTTGTAGTTTTATTTTTGAACCTAGGGAATTGAATATATATAAGAGCACTGTTCTTGTTTCCTAATCCTATTTTTGAATTACTTGCATACTTTGTATTTATTCATTCATGTAATTATGCCTTACAATTTCTTTATAAAATATGCTTACACCAATCTCATAAGACCTGCAATACATCTCATGTCCTCTTAGTGTACCATACATTGGAACCCATTTCCTACAAAATTAAAGACATTTTATATTTTATTCTAACAAACTTTATTTCAGCTTAGTTCTCTTCATTTACTTCCATCTTAAAAACAATTTATGTGAATTTATATATATACATAACTTTAAACTCAAACTTTAGGACGGCAGTTAACATTAAAAAAAAACTGTTTTCATGGGTACCATAATTTCATAGATTTTATGATTATTGAAAACCACAATTTTAATAGAAAACAAAATGCCTACTACTATTTCCTTTGATTAGTTTGATTTGCAAAATCTGACACATCGAATTCAAAAACGATGATTTTTCCAAAAACTATAAAAACTTGAATCTACCAATTTAACTTATTTCACAGTACATTTGCACTGATGTTTCAATAAAAAGCATACAAAATTATTTCCAAAGTATACAGCATAGCCTGATGTCTTCTGCATAAATAAAAATCTAATCTAAGTTACCTTGCAAAAGATTTCACAGTTTTACTTTTCATATCATGTTTTCTTTGTAGTATTCCTTTATGAATCACTTGTTCTAAAAACATTAATACAAATTAGAGTTATATTTATTGAAGTAAAACAAAATGGTGCTAATGAAGACAAATTGTTCTGGGGTTCCAATTGTAAACTTTAGTATAATATAAAAACAGCTTTTTACCACAAGAATGCACACGTTGTTGTGCTAAGTATACCCCAACTTGCAATTCAAAGTATCAGAAAACAGTAAATTGGTGTCTGATAGATCCAAAAAGCACTCACACATTTAAAATCACCACTGTGAGACTCCTGACCAAATATGAAGTTGTTCTGTTTGGTAGTATTGGGGAATTTTTTGACAATTTTTTTTAATTCACTCACATAGCTGGGTTGTGCAGAATGTTTCTTAAACAATGGAGAATGCTCTATACTAATCATTTAAATATTTGAAAAATGAAATGAAAAAATTCCTCAAACAATTTCATAAAAGCAGGTGCACAACTCCAACATATATGTAATCTTTCTGTGTAGGATCTTGAGTGGAAAACTGTAGGAGGAGTGATTACACAAATAAGGTACCCACTTTTCTCCGTCAGCCCATCTGATCAACATCATCATACTATAAGTCGGTTTTGGACTTAGCCAAAAATTCAAAGTATCAGCAAATAGGAAGGCTATTGAAATTTTCTGGAAGGGAACAGAAATGATAAGAATATGATATGGGACACCCAGTGGGGATAATAAAGAATACAAAATATACCAAAAATAGAAGAAGTAGCTAGTGTTTCTGGTCAACATTCCGTGCTTAACAGATAGACATTTAATAATAGACAATTTAGGTTCTCATTTAAACAAGAAATAATTGTAACAGGATGCTGTTACAAAGTCTCCCAAACAAAGCTCCCATAATTCGTATTTCCCATGGTTGCCTGACATTGGTCAAGGTCCAGTACAAATTGGTTTGGTCTAGTAAAGTGATATATATATATATATATATATATGCATAAGTGACGCCTAGGGATTGACCCTGTATGTCATTCAAATCTTCTTGAAATGATGAACAGGAATATATATGGGTTAGGGTGGGGATCTCGACTGTTTACAATGTTTACAAGTTTTCAAACATGAGGGGGTGGGGTCGACCCCCATGGACTTCCCCTATATTTCATTTGATGTGTTTTATTGTCCCATACAAGAATATATATGGTTAAGGGGTGGGGATCTTGACCATTTACAAGTTTTCAAACACGAGGGTGTGGGGGTAACCCCCCCGGGACTTCCCTTTTATTTCATTTGATTTGTTTTATTATCCCATACAAGAATATATATGGTTAAGGGGTGGGGATCTCGACCGTTTACAATGTTTACAAGTTTTCAAACATGAGGGGGTGGGGGGTCGACCCCCATGGACTTTCCCTTTTATTTCATTTGATTTGTTTTATTGTCCCATACAAGAATATATATGGTTTAGGGGTGGGGTTCTCGACCATTTACAATGTTTACAAGTTTTCAAACATGAGGGGGTGGGGTTGACCCCCATGGACTTTCCCTATATTTCATTTGATGTGTTTTATTGTCCCATACAAGAATATATATGGTTTAGGGGTGGGGATCTCGACCGTTTACAAGATAATAGCACATTCTCAAATTGAAGGGGGTGGGGGGGGGGGGGGGGGGGGGGTGACCCCAGGCACTCACCCTATATCATCTGATTTGTTTTATTGTTCTGTGATCATTTCTGAAGACTGCATGTGTCTATCACTTACAATTTTCAAGTTAAAGTCATTTGAAAATTTAAAAAAATAAAATCTCATAGGTTTCTTTATGCCCCTTAAAATACCCCTTAATAGACCCCAATGCACAAACGATTGGTTGATGGCTCCCCTAGATATGTTAATCTAACATTTTATGAAACCCTAAGTAAATCTGACAAGGGGTTTTGGAGAACCGCTGCGCACAAGTTCATCTTTAAAGTGGCGGAAGAAGAAAAGAAAAAGAAAAAGAAAAAGAAAAAAAAGAAGAAGAATAATAAAAATAATAAGAATTGAGCAAAAACAATAAGTCTCCAAACTTTGTTTGGGAGACTTAAATATAAACAGCATGAATTATCTCTCATATCAAATATACAGTGACACACAAATGCATATGTATATGTGTACACTTCAAAAGAGAGGCTGAAGATACCAATGACCATAAGATAAACCACAGTATACAAAAAAACAACATAAAAAACTAACAACTGCAAAACACAAACCCCTAAAAAACCGGGGGTGATCTCAGGTGCTCTAGAAGAGTTAAGCAGATCCTGCTCAACATGAGACCCCCATAGTGTTACACCTATGAAATACGCTGATAAGCTATATTAAGTGGTCAAGTTAAGCTTGTATTTTGCAAGAATTTATAATAAGAAACATTTCAGCTGGATTATATCTTTAGAGCCTGTGATGCTCACCTTGATAAATGTGCCTTTGCAAAGATGAAGACTAGAATATAATTCATGACTAAGATCTCTTTTTTTGTTGATCTTGTCTTGCTGATCATTTTGCTTTTATAATTTTTCTGTATCTACTATAGTTCTGGTCAAAAATGCAAAAAAAAATGGTAAAAATTGTCATTTAAATTTGCCTTTTGGGTGTTTCACAACATTATCAGGCATTGGGACTAATTTCAGGATCTTGTCCTGCTGATCATTTTTCCTTTTTATAGTGTCTCTTTTATCTAACATGGTTTTCAAGATAATAAGCAAAAACACAAAAGGTTGGTAAAAAAATTCGTCATTTAATGGCAATTACTCCTATAAGGGACAACCTAAGTTTTCTGCTATGGTCTTGGTCAGTGATTTCCATGATTTCTTAATGGACTGCATTCTGATGTCCAAAAGCCCCAGCAATCCTAAAAAAAGGCCATCAAGCTTCAGAGCAATCTGGGACTAAAAGAAGTTTTGATGGAAAAGTATTACCACTATAACATATTAAGAATAATACTATGATATACCTGATTTCAGAGGACTGGAACTTAGAGGTGTAGATAAAGGTTGTGTTTGCCCCACTGCACCTTTTGAACTTTGATGGGGATTTCTATCATTGGCTAAAGAGGTTCCTCTTGCACCATCATAATTAGCCTATCAAATACAATAAATAAATATTTTACAAAAATAACTTAATGAATTACATTTGTATAAAAATAATTTAACATTATGTTACCTAACTGTTATATTAAAACTAGTGGCCTTTTGCTGCATGAAAGTAAATCATTTTCTTACCTCCCTGTCATCACTTTTGTTTCAGATCAGCAATAAAAATATACATAAGCAGCTATGCTAAATGGACTTGAACCAACTAGAAAATACTGCAAGCATAAGCATTTTGATTTTGATTTTCTTTAATTTCTGCAGCGAAAACTCAATTGTGAAAATTCAACTGTATGATAACATGGAAAAGCATTTTATTCAACAAATGGGAATAAAGTGAAAACAAATTGAAAAAAAGTGAAAACTTAGATGCCACAAAAATGGATCTATTAAGAAGTAAACTACAAAAATAAAATGTCACTTAATTTTTTTGTATTCAGCTATATCCCCAAAAAAAGGACTATCAATTTATCAAGTTCACCAGATTTCTTAGATTAGTATGTAGAAAGAGAGAAATATATGGAAATATTTGACAGTTAAAAAAGTTATAGGTGAAAAACAAATGACATCAAAAACATAAATATCCCTTAAACGAGCTTGAAGCACAGTTTTAGAAATTACTATTCAAAATTATGTACCCAATTCAAAATTCCAGATTATATGACACATAAAAATAAGAAGATGTGGTAAGATTGCCAATGAAACAACTCTCCACCAGAGACCAAATGACTTAGAAATAAAAGAACAGAGTTCCAATGTCCCCCGTGTTGCACATGATTTATATTTCCAAGGGGCATAACTCTTATAAAAAAAGTCAATCATCCACCATTATAGAACTTGTCCGAGATATTGCTGATATTAACCTTTAGTATAAGTTTTATAAAAATCTGGCAAGAATTGTACCTGTGAGAGCGCTAACAAGGCCATTCTCCATAAATTTAATATTTCCAAGGGGTATAACTCTTTTAAAAAAAGTCGATCATCCACCTATTGTCCGAGATATTGCTGATATTAACCTATAGTATAAGTTTTTTTTAAATCTGGCAAAAATTGTACCTGTAAGAGCGCTAACAAGACCAGACGGACGGACACACAGACACATGGACACATGGAGGGACGATCGCCCGGTATTTCCATGTCCTCCGCAACGCGTTACGCAGGGGATAATAAGCAACTATAGGTCATTGTACAGCCTTCAACAATGAGTAAAACCCATACAGCATAGCAAGCTATCTTCAAAACCTTAATTTTTCTACTTACATCATCCTCATCTTCTGACTGATCGATACATAAACAATTAACAATATCCTCCTTGTAAGGAAATTCACCATTCTGAAAGAAAAAAATAATAAAGAACACATCTTTTTGCAGATCTTCGAAAAAGAAAGATAAAGTTTGCCTACATATCCTCTAAAAATCAAAATAGAAACAGATTCCACCAGGGAATCCCATGCAATACGATATTTCTACCCTCTCAAAAGATTAATTTTAAATATTTAAAACTCTTAGCAATCCTCACGTTTTAAATTTAAAATTTAACTGTCTTGAGTGGAGAAAAATTGTATCACACTCAATGCAGTGGTAGAATCTATATTTTTCTAATGATTTAAAGCTATGTAAGTTAATTAAACATCTTTCTTTTTTCAATGATCTGAAAAAAAAGATCATGTTCTTTCTATACGACGTCATCAGACATAGTAACTTTTTTTTGTCTCACTGGCAATCATACCAAATCTTCTTATTTTTATAAGAATCAGAAAAATTATATTTAACATTCAGATATTACATTATACATTTAGAATAACTATGACTATATAAGTTAAACAAATTTCTGTTTGAAGAAAAGTATTGGCCTGCTTTATAAGTATAGAACTTACCATATTTTTCAGTAAATTTTCGTCTGCACCATGATCAAGCAAATAATTCACCATAGTTATATTTCCTTCTTCAGCTGCATAATGTAAAGGTGGATTGCCATTCTGCCAAAAAAATTAATATAATAGCTTTTGTGAAAATATTCTTCTCGTGAATCATTCAAATAAGGGTAGACATGTGTAGATATTTTGTGCAGTTCAATTCTAATTGGTTTTTTTATATTGAGTATTGTACATTAAGGAGATTAATTCTATAATTCATTCAGTGGAAATAGTACATGATTTAAAACCACCAGGTAATAAAATAGGGATGAGGCCTTTGATCTTCAACAAGGTCAAACCAATGAATATATGCTGGATTATTTTATTTACGAGCAATAGCTAAGATTGGTCAGCTCAGAACCAGATTAATGTGTTTGGGTAAGGTGACATGTCTTCCTATTCTACTTTGTGAGCTAGCTTGTTAAAAATCAAGATTCTTGATCATATCACAATAACATGTTACCATCCTAAATATGCATTTTATATTTGCCACAGCATCAACAAACCAAAACAAACTTACAATTGGTGCATCATTTATGACTGATTTATCTTTTTCCACCATTAATTTCACAATATCCCAGTATCCGTTCAGGCAAGCTATATGTAAAGCTGATTTTCCAGTCATCTGTTGAAAAATCATTTCATATAATTTCAAATAAACATATGGGATTTACATTAAATATAAACAAAAGATATAAGGAATTCTTATTAACTATTTGTTTTAATTAGTAGAATATTAAATGAATATATACAAATGATACAGATTCATTCAAGAACCATAGTTTCTGTGCTGTGGTTACTGAAAAACTGAAATGATATCAGTTCTAATTTTAGTTATGACACTTGAAATGACATACAGTATTTCTTATGAAGGTTTTACAAGATGCTGCTTTACTTTTAAATTTCTTAAATTTGTGTCTAGTCATCAAAGATAATGGGCTTTGAATTCAGTACCCAAGAGGCCAAGACACACATTTCATGTTTGCTTTTGTCAACAATAAAGTTATTAATATCTTCTCAATACTTTTTCTTTCACTATTTTTAATATTCATAATAATCTTGCTGCATTAACATCAAGACCCTCTTCACATCATACTAACTTACTTTATATTTTGCTTTAATTTCAGCTCCTCTATCTATTAAAAGTTTGACCACATTTATCTGTTTTTGTTTTGAAGCCTCACACAACACTGAAGAACCAAACTATAAAAAAATAATACTAACATAAAAATATAGTTATGCAAATGTATTTAATGAGGTAAAACAAAACTGTGCTAATGATAACAAATTGTTCTGGTGTTCCAACGGTAAACTTTAGTTTTATATAAAAGCTGCCTTTTTTAATACAACAAGACTGCACATGTTGTTCTGTTAAGCATACCCATCACTTAAATCAAGTACTGTCAACCAACTAAATTTTGCAAACGACTTATTTTCGAGTCTATTGCAAGTAGAAAAATAAGGCGAATATAAATTTTCAGAAATATGTAAAACTTGGGTCTTTCCTTATTTTTACTACATAAAGTAAATTTGAAAATTGCGAAATAAACTCAATACAAAGTGCGCTAGAAAGGGCTAAATGCAAAATAAAAGTATCCACAATAATAAGCTGGTTTACAGTATAGGAAAACAGAAAGTAGTGACTGACAGATCTGAAAAGCACACAAATTTACAACTTATCACAGTTGAGCTGCTGGCCAAATATGAAGTCATTTTGTCAAATAGTACTATAGAAATGTGAGACGAAAACATTTTTAAGATCATTCAACATTTAAAGTATTAGCAAACAACAGGAAGGTGGTGTCTGACTGTTCAAAAAAGTCTTGAAACGTTGCATCACATTGCTGTCAAGCTTCTGGCAAAATATGAAGTCATTTTGTTTAAAAGTTCCTGAGAAAAGTGTGACTGAAATATTAGTTGCATGAACAGAGAGAAGGAAAAACAGACAGACAGAAACATGGACACGGTGATTGCAATAAAGCCATTACTCCATGAGTGATAGAAAAATATAATAAATCTTGAAAAGAAAAATTCAGAAGATATGATTTTTAACTTAAATAGTCTGTCTTTAAAAAATGTAAAGATTTGTAAAAAAAAAAAGACTAACCGTTGTTTCTGAGTTGATGTCAGCTCCTCGATCCAAAAGTTCTCTGACAAAATTAATATGACCTTTTGATGCTGCTATATGTAATGCTGTCATCCCCTTCTACAAAATGATACAAGTAAAAACATGTATATCACAATAACATACATGATTAATTTTCTTTCTGCATGTAAAATTTTCCCTCATATAATACCTGCTATTTTTTTCTAAAAGTATACTGTACCTTTTGTTTTCCGAGTTGTGATAAAGCTCAGCTTGCAGTTTTTCAAATTTTTATATAAAGCTTTAAGAAATAATAACCTTTCAACGAAATAGCAACTTCTACACAACAAGTCCTTAAATAAAGATTTTTTTTATCCCCTTTATGTGTTTTCATTGAATTCAGATTGTGAGTGAAACATTTTTTATATTTTAAAAATGAAAATACACATAATTGTGGATAAATGTTTATGGAAACCAATTTTGGTGGATTGGAAAATAGCTGTTTTTCAACAAAACTTGTTTTGTGATTTTGTGGTCTGTTGTAATCCAGATGTATATATGAATTTTTTTTCCAAGTCCAATGTACCATAACAGACCACAATATTGCTGAGAAAAAAAATAGGATTTGTTCGAAAAAAAATAATGTTTTGACTTTAGTTTACTCTAAATATCTTTAGAAGGAGACTATACTTTACACACAAAACAAAATTTATGATACAAGGTTGATATTGAACATGTATAATACTCCTAGATATGACGTTCTACAGAAATTAAGGGTTAACCTCTATTCACACAATCACTGAAAAAAAGTATTCCACAACTCAAAATGAATTCATAGTATATAAAAACAAACTTGATGACATGGATATAGATTCTACAACTGCATCAAGTGTAATACATTTTTCTCCACTCCAGATGGTTAAATTTTCAAATTTAAAACATGAGGCTTGCATAGTGTTTTACATATTTGAAATTTAACTATTGAGAGTTTAGAAACATCATATTGCACAAGAATCAGTACCTCTAATGATTTTTGGATTATATATAGGCAAACTTTAATTTTTCTTTTTTTCGATGATCTGCATAAAGATGTGTTCTATTTAATTGACGTCATTAGACATGGTCGCTTTTTTGTGTGACTTCATAGTAGAAGATTCAAAAGAAAGCAAAACAAATTGATGTCACCAATGAAGAACTAAATTCAAATAATTCAACCACTTTTTGATTATAGAAAATTAATCATCTGGTCAGAGATTTGATTTGATTTGATTTTTGGTGTTTTAACGCCATTTTTAAGCACCGCTTTTGGGCTATTTCGTGGCGGCCAGTTTTTATTGGTGGAGGAAGCCGGAGTGCCCGGAGAAAACCACCGACCTTCGATAGGAAAACTGACAATCCTAGTCAATTAAGATTGGAGTCGAGTGCACCTGCACGAGCAGGGTTCAAACTCACAACCTCAGTGTTGACTGGCTAGTGATTACAGTAGTAACTACTTAGACCACTCGGCCACCGAGGCCCCCATCTGGTCAGAGAAGGTATATGCTAAGAATAATATTACAAATAAAACAAACCTGATTTTGTAAATTAATATTAACACCACTATCAATGCATATCTGAATTTGACTACAAATACCAGTTTCAGCAGTGCTGCAGAAATATCCATGAACCCATGTCTGTAAATAAAGAAAGACTGTCAGTTTAAAATATCAAAATTTACCTACTGCAACTAAAGCACAACTTGCATACCAAAAAGAATGTATAAAATGTAACAAGAGTGCACACGCTAAAATGTCTCACCTGCTTTACTGACCATTGATTTTATGTTGATAGTCCTAAAGATAAAGCTTTATTACGAGTATCACATAAACTTAACATGATCCAAGAAAATGAGGTCAAGGTTAGATAACCCAAACTGGAAATACATGTACACCTAACAATCATTCCATACACCAGATATAGTTGACCTATTGCTTATAGTTTCTAAGAATCAAACTTAACCAGGAAAACTTAACATTGCCCAATGAACCATGAAAACAAGGTCAAGGTCAGATGAACTCTGCCAGACAGACATGTACACCTTACAATCAATCTATGCATTAAATATAGTTGACCTATTGCTTATAGTATCTATGAAACAAACTTAACTATGAAAATTTAACATTGACCAATGAACCATGAAAATGAGGTCAAGGTCAGATAATACCTGCCAGACAGACCTATACACCTTATAATCATTGCATACACTAAATATAATTGACCTATTGCTTATAGTATCTAAGAAACAAACTTAGCCATGAAAACTTAACACTGACCAATGAACCATGAATATGAGGTCAAGGTCAGATGATACCTGTCTGACAGACCTATACACCTTACAATCATTCCATACACCAAATATAGTTGACCTATTGCTTATAGTTTAAGAGAAACAGACCAAAACACAAAAACTTAACACTGAGCAATGAACCGTGAAAATGAGGACAAGGTCAAATAAAACCTGCCAGACTGACATGTACATCGTAAAATATTTCCACACATCAAATATAGTTGACCTATTGCATATAGTATAAGAAAAACAGACCAAAACACAAAAACTTAACTTTAACCACTGAACCAAGAAAATGAGGTCAAGGTCAGATGGCACCTGCCAGTTGGACATGTAATCCTTACAATCATTCCATACACCAAATATAGAAGACCTATTGCTTATAGTATCTGATATAAGGACTTGACCACGAAAACTTAACCTTTTTCACTGATCCATGAAATGAGGTCGAGGTCAGATGAAAACTGTCTGACAGGCATGAGGACCTTGCAAGGTACACACATACTAAATATAGTTATCCTATTACTCATAATAAGTGAGAAATTAACATTACAAAAAATCTTAACTTTTTTTTCCAATAGTCACTGAACCATGAAAATGAGGTCAAGGACAATGAACATATGACTGACGGAAACTTCATAAAATAAGGCATCTATATACAAAGTATGAAGCATCCAGGTCTTCCACCTTCTAAAATTTAAAGCTTTTAAGAAGTTAGTTAACGACGCCGCCACTGGATCACTATCCCTATGTCTAGCTTTTTGCGACAGAAGTCGCAGCCTCGACAAAAATCATATGCAAAGGAACACTAGAATAAAGTCAATTTCAGAAATGAATGAAGGAAGGAATTTTTTATTTCATTAGTTGCATGTTCAATAGTTCCAATTGTTTTCATGTGCAGATTTACCTATACATTGACTAGTGGCCATTTTGTTTTTATGAATACTTATAGGGGACAACTGTACTTGTAAATCACCAATTTTTGGCCAGTTTAGCTCCATAATGCTAGAAAAGAGTAAAAAGTGTGCATAGAAATGTTTGTAATAAGAGTGGCTTATAAGACATATCAAAGTTTGATTAAAATTGCGTTCAGTGGTTTGCAAGGAAAAGATTTTTAAAAAGGATGATGATGGGCAATAGATGTCAATGGGAGAATGGTTATTGTTCAAAATGACATTTAATTTAGATTGGTTAAAATGGATTTGTACATATTGATGAAAATGAATTAGCCAAGCATACCAGAATCTCACAGCTAAGCTATCAACTACTAAATAAATGCTTTTTTTTCCATTTTATTAAGCAACAATAGATACCAGGTGCCTTGTATAGCTTACAAAAGGTATCATGTATGGTTTTTGGTCATTGGTGAAAGCCGTACAGTTACCCTTAGTTGTTTACATCCTTGGCCTTTTGCATTTTGGTGGTTAGTTGTCTCATAGCCAATCATACCACATCCCCTTATTTTCATGTGAATAAAAAAAAAAATCATACTGTACCTTATTTTGAGTGAATGATTTTATTTTGGTTTCAAACAGCAATTGCTTATCTTTGAATTTCTTCTGTAGATTTTCAAAATAGTCAGCTACCTTAAATCAAAATATACCTGATATAAATTAAGTTATTTTATTTAAGAAATAGTTCTTTGATGTCATGGTCTATTCTTGTTTAAACATGGGTAAGCATTATATTGTCAATATATTAACACTGAGCATTAGAGAAGTGTAAAATGATTACAATTATAATGCCTTCCTAGTTTAAGAATTATTTGGAAATTCAGGACATTTTTCATCCAAAGCAAACCTAAAACATAACTAATATTGGCAACTATTTGGATTGGATGAAGCAAAATCATTCTAGATTACTAACATTTAATGATTAAATAATGTACATATACATATTTAAAATGTTTATTGAATTTCCAAGCATTGGTATCAGTGCTGAGCTGCCTAAGTAGTTCAACTACTGTATCACTAGCCTGTCAACACTGATGTTGTGAGTTTGAACCCCGCACATGGCAGGTGCGCTAAACTCCAATCTTAATTGACTTGGATAGTTCATTTTCCTGCCAAAGTTTGGTGTTCCTCTCTATGGACCCCAGGTTCCTCCACAAATAAAAACTGACCACCACGAAAAACTCTAGTGCTGGAAGTGGTTCAACATCTTTACCTCCAACTGGTCGTCTATGAAAACAATTATTCATATCAAACACAATTTGTTGAAGATTTTGAAATGGTTATCTTTATTTACATATAGTTTTATAATCTGAAGTGTTCAGATATAAAAAAAAATGTAAATAATTTAACAAATTTCAAAGTTAACAACAATCTTACGACAGACATAAATTTCTTGATCAAAGCATCTACTAAATGAGATTGTTATTTCAAAATAATTACCTGATGAAGCTGACTACTTATTTGTGATGACAACACCTCAAAGTCGATTTTTCTAGATTCATAATCCAAAGAATGGATTCGGTTTATGCGTTGAAAATCTTCATTTACTATCTAAAATAGAAATAGGTATTGTAAAAAAAATATAACTTATCATTTGAAAATATTTTGCTATCACAATTAAAAAGGAATATTAGTTTTTAACACAATAAGATGGCTCCTCTGTTTTCTCCTATCCTACAAACACAGTAACTCTTAAAATGCATATATCATGTAAAAAGTCATTCAAATTTTTTCCCATTTAAATGTAGAAAATTTTACATTGACATATTAGAAAAAAACCAGCAGAGTCTAGAAAGGCAATTTGTACTGTGCATATCAAAAACAAAAAAAAATCATCAGTCTTTGTCTATATCTCTATGATTATTGTCCTTGAGAGTTAGTCTTCAGTTTTCTATGTTGTGTTTTGTGTACTGTTGTTTGTCTTTTGGTCGTTTATTGTTTTTATGCCATGGCCTTGTTAGTTTGTTTTCAACTTATGACTCTAAATGTCCCTTTGGTATCTTTTGCCTCTCTTTTGATACTGATGTCTGCTTTTCAGTGTTATCTGTTATATTATTTCTATCTTGTCTAAACACTGGAGGATTTTGAGTGTGACATATTTTAAGGAATTGATACTTGTTAAGGTTGCAGACTGTATGATGCCCTCTAAATGTCTTTTCTGGTTTTATTCATTTTCAGGGTTGCCATCACATTGATATATATACCCATATCTCTTTTTCATAGTGTAATTAAAGCCTTACCCTATGGATGACATTAATTATTACCTAATTTTGACCTACAACCATTAACATAAAGGGCACCACCAGCATATCTAAATTTGACTTGATAAATCATTCAAAATTGAAATCAAACCTTTTCTTCTTCTTTTAATGAACTAAGATTTTCATCAAGTTCAGCTATCTGTTGTCTCTGGCCCATTAATGCATTACCTGTTTCACTTAGAACTATAGAGGTAAATAAGTCCTGCAAATATAACTACATTATATGAATTATATGAATGATACATTATAGTATGTCCATTTAAGTTTACCCTAACCCTAGATATCTGTTTTTTTTTATATTTCAAATCAAGCTGTTTACAAGGAGATAAGTCTTGTATGATTGGCAGTAAAAAAAAAATTTAAACTACATGAATTTGATGGATTGATTAACTAGTGAACTTCTAACACTCACAACTTAGGAATTTGGTCAGTTGTAGTTGGTGTCTTTTCATGAGTTTTCTCTATTAAGCCTCACACAATTAGTAATTCTTATATGATTTGCATAATTGGAAATACTTTACTATGATTGGTTACAAATGCTTCTAGTGGTGAATAGGTCTAGTTTACACACCAATAATCTTAAACATCAAAAGTATTTTATTAGTCAAGACGAGTATAGAGTAATGGTATACTGACATAAGAGGTCTCTAAACACAGTAGCTCAAAACGGAAACTTTGATAGTGGAAGCCATATTAATTATGCGTATCAGCAGGAAAAATTTATGACAAATAAAAAATATAGTATATGCCAAAACACATAATTAACAGCGCCTGGTGATGATCCATAGCCTGACCAGTTTTGGTCCTTCAAGGACCTTCCGTAGAAGGCAGAATGGTGGATTAACTGTTGTACCCTATTTATATAGATACGATATCTAGCGGATATGAGTTATCCCACGGATTGTAGTTATCCAGTGGATAATTGTTATCTGGTATTCGGCGGATCCTTTCAGCTAAAAATCCAGTGGATTTTTCCTTGGTTACGGTAAACTTTATATAATGTTACGGAAAATGGTATAACCCGAATTTGGGCATCTACATTGTAGTACAGTGTCTTCATTGTAATTCAAGTATATGGTAGTCATGCAGCCTTGATCTTTGGCTTATGATACGTCTAAATATCAAGTCTTCTAATATAATAGTTTTACATGGTAGTCATGCAGTCCTGATGTTCTAGCTTGTGATTGGCCAAAATATCAAGTCTAAACTAATACCCCCCAACCCCCAACAAAACATGTTGGGGGAGGGGGGTTCTAAACAATGAAAGCTTTATTTGAGTCTTCCATACTCCGTTTTAAAAGTTTAGGTTTATAGGAAATCAATCATCAGTGTTAAACGCCTTTGGTATGTAATTCAGGTATTACATATGCTCATCAAGTTCAGGTAATCGCTAGGCTTTCACTTAGTTCTTTTGTCAGTGGAAAAGATCAGACGAGTAAAGAGTAATGGTATAATGACATTATAGGTCTCTAAATATCGCTTTATTAGTCCAGTTTACATTTCAGGAAATGTTTTCAATCTTATACTTTTAATCCTTCATAGTCTGAAATGTACAGTAAATTCAGAAATATTTTCTAAATTTTTTCTTATTGCAAAAATTGTGATGCAATAGGTTGAGACAAAAACAAACCTCAAATTCTTCTGTCTTATCTAGTAAGGTATCTATGTGAGACAAAAACAAACCTCAAATTCTTCTGCCTTATCTAGTATGGTATCTATGTGAGACAAAAACAAACTTCAAATTCTTCTGCCTTATCTAGTAAGGTATCTATGTGAGACAAAAACAAACTTCAAATTCTTCTGCCTTATCTAGTATGGTATCTATGTGAGACAAAAACAAACTTCAAATTCTTCTGCCTTATCTAGTATGGTATCTATGTGAGACAAAAACAAACCTCAAATTCTTCTGCCTTATCTAGTAAGGTATCTATGTGAGACAAAAACAAACTTCAAACTCTTCTGCCTTTATCTAGTATGGTATCTATGTGAGACAAAAACAAACCTCAAATTCTTCTGCCTTATCTAGTATGCTATCTTTGTGAGACAAAAACAAACTTCAAACTCTTCTGCCTTATCTAGTAAGGTATGTATGTGAGACAAAAACAAACTCTTCTGCCTTATCTAGTAAGGTATCTATGTGAGACAAAAACAAACCTCAAATTCTTCTGCCTTATCTAGTATGGTATCTATGTGAGACAAAAACAAACTTCAAATTCTTCTGCCTTATCTAGTATGGTATCTATGTGAGACAAAAACAAACTTCAAACTCTTCTGCCTTATCTAGTAAGGTATCTATGTGAGACAAAACAAACCTCAAATTCTTCTGCCTTATCTAGTAAGGTATCTATGTGAGACAAAACAAACCTCAAATTCTTCTGCCTTATCTAGTATGGTATCTATGTGAGACAAAAACAAACCTCAAATGCTTCTGCCTTATCTAGTATGGTATCTATGTGAGACAAAAACAAACTTCAAACTCTTCTGCCTTATCTAGTAAGGTATCTATGTGAGACAAAAACAAACCTCAAATTCTTCTGCCTTATCTAGTAAGGTATCTATGCGAGACAAAAACAAACCTCAAATTCTTCTGCCTTATCTAGTAAGGTATCTATGTGAGACAAAAACAAACCTCAAATTCTTCTGTCTTATCTGGTAAGGTATCTATGTGAGACAAAAACATACTTCAAACTCTTCTGCCTTATCTAGTATGGTATCTATGTGAGACAAAAACAAACCTCAAATTCTTCTGCCTTATCTAGTATGGTATCTATGTGAGACAAAAACAAACATCAAACTCTTCTGCCTTATCTAGTAAGGTATCTATGTGAGACAAAAACAAACTTCAAACTCTTCTGCCTTATCTAGTAAGGTATCTATGACTATGTGAGACAAAAACAAACTTCAAACTCTTCTGCCTTATCTAGTAAGGTATCTATGTGAGACAAAAACAAACTTCAAACTCTTCTGCCTTATCTAGTAAGGTATCTATGGAGACAAAAACAAACTTCAAACTCTTCTGCCTTATCTAGTATGGTAACTATGTGAGACAAAAACAAACCTCAAAGTCTTCTGCCTTATATAGTATGGTATCTATGTGAGACAAAAACAAACTTCAAATTCTTCTGCCTTATCTAGTATGGTATCTATGTGAGACAAAAACAAACCTCAAATTCTTCTGCCTTATCTAGTATGGTATCTATGTGAGACAAAAACAAACTTCAAACTCTTCTGCCTTATCTAGTAAGGTATCTATGTGAGACAAAAACAATCGTCAAATTCTTCTGCCTTATCTAGTAAGGTATCTATGTGAGACAAAAACAAACCTCAAATTCTTCTGCCTTATCTAGTATGGTATCTATGTGAGACAAAAACAAACTTCAAATTCTTCTGCCTTATCTAGTAAGGTATCTATGTGAGACAAAAACAAACCTCAAATTCTTCTGCCTTATCTAGTAAGGTATCTATGTGAGACAAAAACAAACTTCAAACTCTTCTGCCTTATCTAGTAAGGTATCTATGTGAGACAAAAACAAACTTCAAATTCTTCTGCCTTATCTAGTATGGTATCTATGTGAGACAAAAACAAACTTCAAATTCTTCTGCCTTATCTAGTATGGTATCTATGTGAGACAAAAACAAACTTCAAATTCTTCTGCCTTATCTAGTATCGTATCTATGTGAGACAAAAACAAACCTCAAATTCACACTTCAAATTCTTCTGCCTTATCTAGTATGGTATCTATGTGAGACAAAAACAAACCTCAAATTCTTCTGCCTTATCTAGTAAGGTATCTATGTGAGACAAAAACAAACCTCAAATTCTTCTGCCTTATCTAGTAAGGTATCTATGTGAGACAAAAACAAACCTCAAATTCTTCTGTCTTATCTGGTAAGGTATCTATGTGAGACAAAAACATACTTCAAACTCTTCTGCCTTATCTAGTATGGTATCTATGTGAGACAAAAACAAACCTCAAATTCTTCTGCCTTATCTAGTATGGTATCTATGTGAGACAAAAACAAACATCAAACTCTTCTGCCTTATCTAGTAAGGTATCTATGTGAGACAAAAACAAACTTCAAACTCTTCTGCCTTATCTAGTAAGGTATCTATGACTATGTGAGACAAAAACAAACTTCAAACTCTTCTGCCTTATCTAGTAAGGTATCTATGTGAGACAAAAACAAACTTCAAACTCTTCTGCCTTATCTAGTAAGGTATCTATGGAGACAAAAACAAACTTCAAACTCTTCTGCCTTATCTAGTATGGTAACTATGTGAGACAAAAACAAACCTCAAAGTCTTCTGCCTTATATAGTATGGTATCTATGTGAGACAAAAACAAACTTCAAATTCTTCTGCCTTATCTAGTATGGTATCTATGTGAGACAAAAACAAACCTCAAATTCTTCTGCCTTATCTAGTATGGTATCTATGTGAGACAAAAACAAACTTCAAACTCTTCTGCCTTATCTAGTAAGGTATCTATGTGAGACAAAAACAATCGTCAAATTCTTCTGCCTTATCTAGTAAGGTATCTATGTGAGACAAAAACAAACCTCAAATTCTTCTGCCTTATCTAGTATGGTATCTATGTGAGACAAAAACAAACTTCAAATTCTTCTGCCTTATCTAGTAAGGTATCTATGTGAGACAAAAACAAACCTCAAATTCTTCTGCCTTATCTAGTAAGGTATCTATGCGAGACAAAAACAAACCTCAAATTCTTCTGCCTTATCTAGTAAGGTATCTATGTGAGACAAAAACAAACCTCAAATTCTTCTGTCTTATCTGGTAAGGTATCTATGTGAGACAAAAACATACTTCAAACTCTTCTGCCTTATCTAGTATGGTATCTATGTGAGACAAAAACAAACCTCAAATTCTTCTGCCTTATCTAGTATGGTATCTATGTGAGACAAAAACAAACATCAAACTCTTCTGCCTTATCTAGTAAGGTATCTATGTGAGACAAAAACAAACTTCAAACTCTTCTGCCTTATCTAGTAAGGTATCTATGACTATGTGAGACAAAAACAAACTTCAAACTCTTCTGCCTTATCTAGTAAGGTATCTATGTGAGACAAAAACAAACTTCAAACTCTTCTGCCTTATCTAGTAAGGTATCTATGGAGACAAAAACAAACTTCAAACTCTTCTGCCTTATCTAGTATGGTAACTATGTGAGACAAAAACAAACCTCAAAGTCTTCTGCCTTATATAGTATGGTATCTATGTGAGACAAAAACAAACTTCAAATTCTTCTGCCTTATCTAGTATGGTATCTATGTGAGACAAAAACAAACCTCAAATTCTTCTGCCTTATCTAGTATGGTATCTATGTGAGACAAAAACAAACTTCAAACTCTTCTGCCTTATCTAGTAAGGTATCTATGTGAGACAAAAACAATCGTCAAATTCTTCTGCCTTATCTAGTAAGGTATCTATGTGAGACAAAAACAAACCTCAAATTCTTCTGCCTTATCTAGTATGGTATCTATGTGAGACAAAAACAAACTTCAAATTCTTCTGCCTTATCTAGTAAGGTATCTATGTGAGACAAAAACAAACCTCAAATACTTCTGCCTTATCTAGTAAGGTATCTATGTGAGACAAAAACAAACTTCAAACTCTTCTGCCTTATCTAGTAAGGTATCTATGTGAGACAAAAACAAACTTCAAATTCTTCTGCCTTATCTAGTATGGTATCTATGTGAGACAAAAACAAACTTCAAATTCTTCTGCCTTATCTAGTATGGTATCTATGTGAGACAAAAACAAACTTCAAATTCTTCTGCCTTATCTAGTATCGTATCTATGTGAGACAAAAACAAACCTCAAATTCACACTTCAAATTCTTCTGCCTTATCTAGTATGGTATCTATGTGAGACAAAAACAAACCTCAAATTCTTCTGCCTTATCTAGTATGGTATCTATGTGAGACAAAAACAAACTTCAAATTCTTCTGCCTTATCTAGTATGGTATCTATGTGAGACAAAAACAAACCTCAAATTCTTCTGCCTTATCTAGTAAGGTATCTATGTGAGACAAAAACAAACTCTTCTGCCTTATCTAGTAAGGTATCTATGGAGACAAAAACAAACTTCAAACTCTTCTGCCTTATCTAGTATGGTAACTATGTGAGACAAAAACAAACCTCAAAGTCTTCTGCCTTATATAGTATGGTATCTATGTGAGACAAAAACAAACTTCAAATTCTTCTGCCTTATCTAGTATGGTATCTATGTGAGACAAAAACAAACCTCAAATTCTTCTGCCTTATCTAGTATGGTATCTATGTGAGACAAAAACAAACTTCAAACTCTTCTGCCTTATCTAGTAAGGTATCTATGTGAGACAAAAACAATCGTCAAATTCTTCTGCCTTATCTAGTAAGGTATCTATGTGAGACAAAAACAAACCTCAAATTCTTCTGCCTTATCTAGTATGGTATCTATGTGAGACAAAAACAAACTTCAAATTCTTCTGCCTTATCTAGTAAGGTATCTATGTGAGACAAAAACAAACCTCAAATTCTTCTGCCTTATCTAGTAAGGTATCTATGTGAGACAAAAACAAACTTCAAACTCTTCTGCCTTATCTAGTAAGGTATCTATGTGAGACAAAAACAAACTTCAAATTCTTCTGCCTTATCTAGTATGGTATCTATGTGAGACAAAAACAAACTTCAAATTCTTCTGCCTTATCTAGTATGGTATCTATGTGAGACAAAAACAAACTTCAAATTCTTCTGCCTTATCTAGTATCGTATCTATGTGAGACAAAAACAAACCTCAAATTCACACTTCAAATTCTTCTGCCTTATCTAGTATGGTATCTATGTGAGACAAAAACAAACCTCAAATTCTTCTGCCTTATCTAGTATGGTATCTATGTGAGACAAAAACAAACTTCAAATTCTTCTGCCTTATCTAGTATGGTATCTATGTGAGACAAAAACAAACCTCAAATTCTTCTGCCTTATCTAGTAAGGTATCTATGTGAGACAAAAACAAACTCTTCTGCCTTATCTAGTATGGTATCTATGTGAGACAAAAACAAACCTCAAATTCTTCTGCCTTATCTAGTAAGGTATCTATGTGAGACAAAAACAAATTCTTCTGCCTTATCTAGTATGGTATCTATGTGAGACAAAAACAAACCTCAAATTATTCTGCCTTATCTAGTATGGTATCTATGTGAGACAAAAACAAACTTCAAACTCTTCTGCCTTATCTAGTAAGGTATCTATGTGAGACAAAAACAAACCTCAAATTCTTCTGCCTTATCTAGTAAGGTATCTATGTGAGATAAAAACAAACCTCAAATTCTTCTGCCTTATCTAGTAAGGTATCTATGTGAGACAAAAACAAACCTTGAATGCTACTGCCTTATCTAGTAAGGTATCAATTGTTATCCATAGTCTGTGACATTTCACACAAATATCATATTCATACATGTAAACTGTAAACATTTTCATTATAGTATTCTCTTCTTCTGCAACAGCCTTCAGCTAAAAAAATATTTTATTTTGTACTGTGTGACAGAATAAAACTGTCGTAAAAAGCACATGCTACAAACAAAATATCACAAACAGGAGCATCAAATACATAGGTTGTTGTTTTTTGCTGTATATCATATCTGTTTTTTGTTCCTGTTGGTTTTTCTCGTTTGAATTGTTTTACATTTGCTTTGTTGGGACCTTTAAAAGCTTGCTATGTAGTTTGGGTTTGGCTCATTATGGAAGGCTGTATGGTGACTTATAGTTGCTGGCATCTACTTCTTGTGTCTCTGGTGGATAGTTGTCTCATTTGCAATCATACCACATTTTCTTATTTTCATATTGTCACTTGGAATATCAAAATTTTAAAGGCCTAAAAAGTAAACCCCTTTACAGTATGTTAATTTGTCCTTTCTTGAAATAAATTTATATTAAAAGATTCATCTTTAAAATATTTTGAAGAATATATTTCACACAGTTAATTCTCTGTAACTGCCAAATATGAAATATTATTTATCAAATCATTAATGTGTCTAGAATTACAGGAGGTCTACAACTAAGTAATATACTATGCCAGTAGAGTTTCTACCGCATTTTGAAATGATGCGGATAGCGTCATCTATTTTCACATAAGACATAGAACAATCACTTTTGTCTATCATATCATTAACACTCATACATTCGTCATTGTGTGGTGATGACAAATCTAAAATTAATCTTTTCTTATCTGAATATTTCCCTGTTGCTACCCCTAGAGGACTTACTCTAAATTAGACTAAAACGAGGAAAAGGAGCATGTTGAAATGGCCCATACACAAAACATTTTTCACATTCCTTCTTAATCAAATCTGAAAATACTGTAGATTGCGACCTAGCTGAGTAATTATTTTTGCATACTTTGGTATCCCATATATCATATTTAACCATAGAATCGAAACCATTTCTTAATCCATTTATTAAATATGATCTGAAGTTTATATCTGGATGATTCTGCAGCTCATGTTTATTTTCAAAATGGAAGATTCTGGTAAAATGAATGTAAGGACAAAAACCCAAAGTAAATACTGTATAACATACTTTATCTTTTATATCATCTAAATTACATCTACCATTGGTGATAAATTCATTATGATTTTCTTTGAATCTGTGAAAATTCACCTCTATCTTCACCTAAAAGACAAAATATAAAGATAAAGCAGACATTCCCTTTAAAATGTAATGTTGATGTATCAGGTAGGAGTATCAATTCAGGATATATTCTCAATGAATATAAAGTTTTGTTAAAATCAAAACAGTTTGTAATTTGGTTGGCATTTTAGTAAGTACTGTACTAATTTTTATGGAAAATCTTACACAAAATTTTTTACAAGGCATATGAACTTTACCATATAAAAATAAGAAGATGTGGTATGATTGCCAATGAGGCAACTCTCTACCAGAGACCAAATGACATAGAAATTAAAAACTATAGATTACTTATATAACATAAACTTTTTAAGATACACCAATTTTTGTTGAAATTCTAGTACAAAAAAATGTTTCTCTAAGTTTTTTGATTTTTTTACAAAACCAAAGTTTTTATGAAAAATTGTACACTCAAATTATCGTTGCAAACCAATTTTTAATAGCATTTCATAATCTATGCCATTTTTTTTTGCTGAATTTAGAGTGCAAAAAGGCAAAATTTGTGATTTTTTTAACAAAAACAATTTGTTTATAGAAGCTTATAAGGTATATAAGCATTGCTTATTCAAGAGATAATCTATGTGTGGAGGTGTTCCTTGTCCAAAATAAGAGGAATCTTCATTTCATCTGTATTAACCCTGTGCAAAAAGGTTTTGAAAATTGATTAATGCATTATTGCAATCTAACGATATAGAAGAGCTTACAGATGGATGGACTTACAGCCAAAACGGCAGACAGAAAAAAATGACTGAAGGACTGACCAGACAGAGAGTGATTTCTATTGGGCACCTGTTCACTACCTGTCTATGGGCGCTAAAAAAGAACATCTGTTCCAAACATTTGGTCTTCAACAAAGGACAAGTGTCTTTACCACATGTCATGCTTTGAAACCCTTAGTTGATTTGATTGCTGAAAGTTATTAACAGAAAATACCAATGATCTGCCATTAAAACCACATCCCTCAAAGAACACAAACTACAAAGACATAAATAAAGACAACTATTGACCAGGTTCTTGACTTGGACAGACACATAAACATTGACACTGGCTAAAACTAGTCCTTTTTACCTAATATGCAGTGAAGCTGCTCTAGTTAAAGGAATATTTGGACTCTAACACCAAGTTTTACGTATGGAAAGCTTAAAATACAATACAGCTATCTCCATTCTAATACACAATTAACAAAATATTCTCATTTCTAGACATTATTTCAGTGTAAAAATCTCATAAGTATAGTTTGAGGTCATAGTTGAGCTTCCAAACCTAAACACCAGATATTTTTAGACTTTCAATACAATTCAGATTCTATACACTTCAGATTAAAAAAAAAATTTGACAGAAAGAAGATTTTCAGGTGAAAAATGTGAAGAGATTTTGCCTTTAATTGAAAAATCACATAGCAATAAATTTTGGATTTCTTTAGTTCCCATGGAAATCACCCTTCTAAAAAATGTTGTGGTCCAATCAAAATTGTTTTCGCAAACGAATTGCATTAGAATTAATAATACCATATCAAAGAATGCTTCCAGTTACTGACAGATACCTCAATGTCCTTAATCTGCTGATATAGAAATAATGCCTTTTTCATCACAATATTGGCCTATGTACCTTTAACTTGTTTTATGTAAATATATCAACTCCATATCCTTTCTTTTTAAAAGTAAGTTCACAAAGTATCATTAAGTATTTAAGAATTGTACTCAGAAAATTAAAACAAACCTTTCTGTCAAAATGTGTTTTAACTAATCTTTCAGCTACATTTAAGTCTGTAGGGATGAAGTCAGCTTCTATTTCACTTGACATACTGGCTACAAAATTCATCAACTCATCAAATCTTCTCATAAACCTATCAAATCTTTCCTGTATCTGGACATTATGTAACTAAAAAACATACAGATTACAAACTGTAATGTAGTTTAAAAATAAGACAATTGGTATGAACTAAATGAGATGTAGGGTATACCGGTACATCAAAAAGACAGTAACCAAAATACATATATATTCCACCACTGCATCAAGTGTGTTACGATGTTTCTCCACTCAAGACAGTTAAATTTCAATATTTAAAGCGCGAGGCTTGCTGAGCTTTTTAAATAATTAAAATTAAAGTGGAGAAATATCATAATACACGAGTTATAGCGGTGGAATCTGTTTCTCTAATGATTTTTAGATGATATCTAAACAAAGTTTACCCTTTCTTTTCAAAGATTTGCAGAAAGTTGTGTTCTTTATATGTGACGTCATCAGACATGGTCACCTTTTTTCATGACGTCACAATAGGAAATTCAGAAGAAACCAAGAAAATTTGACGTCATAATTAAATTTCGACCAATCATTTGCCGAAAACATAGTTTTCTCTAGAGATGAGGAATATTTTCACACACCTGTCGAGAAATGTGAAAAAAGCATGAAAATAAGAGAAAATAATATCTAAAACATATCTAGAGGGCATCATACAGTTGCCAACTTTTAGACAGCTGTCTATACCATATGTCTAGCCTATAAACATTCCAGGTCTATAAATGTTGTGAATAAATTAAACAGAAACAATAAAAGATCAATTAACACCCAATTCTCCAAATAATGAAAAAACATCAAAATATGGCATTAAACAAGTACAGGCAAGTTTCTTGACATTGGAGAGGTACATAAATATGTGGTGGGATTAGACTACCAGATAGTTTTTTTAGATCTACAACCCTTCCATTTTATTAATGATTAACAAGTTATACAATATTACAAAATGCTTACAGTTACTGAAATCAAGCTCAAAGTACTTAACCTGCTGAAAAGAAATCATGCCATCCTACACTCTAATATTGGTGACTGTACTTATTTCTATTTTACTGATTCAATTAAATCACCTAGTAAATTTGTAATAATATTGATGAATTTAGAGATACATTTTTACAAAGGTCATGATATTTTGAGAAATAAGCATTTATTTCAAATTTGTATTTGAAGTATGAGCACTTACTGAATTAGATCCTTCTTCGCTGATCCAAGGAGTTCTGGCAAAATATTGATACACAAAATAAATAAAAAAATGATAAACAATTAAACATAAATTTGGTACAAAGTACTTTTATAATAATCAAATGGTTTACTCAGGGGCGTTATGAAATAAGAGTTTACATACACTAACATAACTGTTTATTGTTTTAGTGGAAACTTTAAGAAATTTCAATTATCATAGAGATGACTGCAAGACCATATATAATTTGAATGGCTGTTTTTCTGTTATATTATAAGATGATCTTGAACTTTGACCTATAATCTTGAAATTGAAAAAAGCTTTTTAAGCCTTACAAATTGCAAAGTATTAGACAGTGTATGATAAAAACTGGATTCAAGACATGAGCTCTACTATGCCTACAGCTTTTACCTCCAACATGACTTTAACTTTAAACCTCTAATCTTTAAATGACATAAGGTTTAAAGCTCTAACCATGGTCCAATGTAAGACAATGAAGAATAAATGCAAGACAGGAGCTCTATGGTGCATACAATCTTCTAAAATGTAACTTATAAGACGTAACCTTAAACTTTTCAACCTCTTCTATCTGTCAAATATTGGATAATGCTTCATTGTGTTCCATATAAGCCAAGCGTCTCGAGGTTTCTTTGAGAGTGTTTAGATGCATGGTCAAATGAACATATAGACATAAGGATGAAGAGACATACAGAGATAAGCAGATGGATTTATTATTGTGCTACTATATTCCTTCCAAAATGGTCATTGTATTAGGAGACTAACTCTAAACTGACACAGAGTTTAGTTAAATATTGTTATAGTATTCACCTCAATATAAGGTAACCCATACATTAGAACTTTAAACAAATTTAATAGTAAAATCAATGAGAAACAATTGTTTGGCTTTATATATGTGTTGATAGATGTGCAAGTACATGTACTAAGTTTGTGTAACATTCAATTTTTATCAGCATCGTTGTACAAATCTTTCCACATGTATAATATTTTCCTGTTTGTGTAGTATCATCATTTCCAGACAATCTGATACCTATTAAGTTTGATAATTGGTTGTTTTCTTGAGACTCTTATAAACATTGATATTTGTCAACTTCTTATAATGTGTTGTTCAAATCAATTAATAATTAGAAACTCATGATTTATATTCAGCTTTTTTTAGTACCAATACCACACGATTCAGACTATGTATATATCACTCCATATAAACCAATACTCAATGCTTGATCATAAAAACTGATACATTGTATTACAAAAAAACTGTTTTGTTCTATTTTCTAAGTTATTAACATACTATATCAAAATATAAAACTTACATGCCATAAGTTACTTTGTTTGTTATTACTTCCTGGTATGAAGGGGGTGGTGGCAAATCACCTATAATATCATTAATTTAAATATATTAGTCAGGGCATCAATCTGATCAAATATTTATTAATACACATTAGTATGCTTTATTTCTTGGAAATGCAACTGCTTATAACTACAATGTATAATATAATTTCCAAAGATATGCTTAAGAAATAAACCAGAATCAGTGATTTCACAAGGGGAAATAACTTCTGCACAATTCATTCAATTCAGGGGGAGATAATTAAACTGGATATTACTGCAAATCAACCAGTATTTACTTTGTGAAATAAATTGTATCAAGAAAACAAGGACAGATACCCCTAGTTTAATTCTATTAATTAAAGTAACATGTGTTTTCGAATCCAGAAATATTATAAACTTTTTCTAATTTTTTTATTTATTTCACAAAAGAATGAATTTCTGTAGTTTACTTTCTAGTCATTGACAAAAGCTTAACCCTCTCAAAGGAGGTCAAGTGACTGAGTTAATAGTATTTTCCTCACTTCTGAAGAATTTCTAACAATGTTTAAAGGTAGAGCAGCACTTTCCTTAAAATATGTCTGTTTAAGCTATTCAATTTCTAAAAAAAAACATTGCCGTATTAACCAATTTTCTTTATTTCATGCAAAGGGTCACTTCTATTTCAATGACATCAGGAGTTATTTATAAATTTTCAGGTGTTGAAAACATAATTGTTCAAGCAGAACTCAAGTAAATCTAAGGTAAAAGCACAAGAATCATGCTGTTTAACTCTGGTAATTTCAACATTGAGTAGAAAAAATTTGGTTATCTCCTGAATGGTTTCTGCTGTAATAAATATCTTCTCTCTTTTTCTATAAATATAAGTTAAAAAGCTCTATAGGATACAAAAAAATTATAAAATTTCCTTGTCATTAAATATCTATATCATCATAGAAAGTGATATGTCTCATAATTTAAAACTTAAGTTAGTTACCAGGGACAAATAAACTGTTAGTTTGTATATTCTGACCACCACATGCACCCTGTGGCATTCCAGGAGAAACAACTTCATCATATGTTGGCAAGTTTGATGCTGTAATATCATCAAGGACTGGTGCAGTTGGTGATGTCTGTGATACTTCTGAATAAGGTGGTGCACTTGGTCTTGTTATACCTACAGGAAGAAAATACTAATTGCTCATATGTGTATTTAATATTGAAATTAACAAAAATAAGCCTTATTATGTCAAAGACAGTGGAAAATAGTTCCTCCTGATCTGACTTTGTTCATAAAATGGAAGTTTAGCATACCTGATCAAACATATTAATAATCTGATTTCATTTGTAAATTATAAGCAACTTGAAAACTAAAGGTTTATCAAAAACAAAAGTAGCATGATCAATTCCACAGAATTTGCAGTTTTAAGACAATCAAATCATGTCACTTTTAAACTGCTGCAATCTACAAATTTTTACACTAACATGTGCAAAATATCATGCAGTTTATGCAGCAAAACCATTGATACAGGTTCGTTTATGTCATGACAACTTATATGAATTCGACAGCTTTAAAGTCTTCAACAAATGACCAAAATTGCATGACAAAAATTCTGGACCCTTAATATGAATGCAAGTAACTCTTTATTTTATAGTTGTGAAGTACAATTCTTTGTTTCCATAGTTAGTCCTTACCTCCAACAGTGACACCTATACACTCTCTAGTTCAGACTAGAGGCTCTCCAGAGCCTGTGTCGCTCACCTGATTCTACTTTGGTTTTGGAAATCATGTAAAAATAGATTAAAATCATAACAGATACCTAATAATGAGTGAGGCCAAATTTGGTTTAATATTGGCCCTGTAATTTAATAAAAAATCCTGGTGGCCATCTTGAACAGTAAATCGGTAATAAAGTAGCAACACTTCATCAGCACCTCAAAATAAACATTTATGCCATGTTTGGTTTCATTCCATTCAGTGCACCTCTAGAAGAAGCATTTGAATGTATTTCCCATAGGGTCTTATGTTAAAGGAAGTCTCCCCGCTTGCGACCATCTTGGAATATGGATCGGCTTCAAAGTAACAACACTTGGTCAGTATCTCATAAGGAACGTTCATGCCATGTTTGATTTCATTCCATTCAGTGGTTCTCTAAAAGAAGACATTTGTATGTATTTCCCATAGGGTCCTATGTTAAACTAAGTCCCCTGCTGGCGCCCATCTTGGAATATGGATCGGCTTCAAAGTAACAACACTTGGTCAGCACCTCATAAGGAACATTCATGCAATGTTTGCTTTCATTCCATTCAGTGGTTCCCTAGAAGAAGACATTTGTATGTATTTCCCATAGGGTCCTATGTTAAAATAAGTCCCCCGCTGGCGGCCATCTTTGATGATGGATCAGCTTCAAAGTAACAACACTTGGTCAGCACCTCATAAGGAACATTCATGCCATGTTTGATTTAATTCCATTCAGTGGTTCTCTAAAAGAAGACATTTGTATGTATTTCCCATTGGGTCCTATGTTAAACTAAGTCCCCTGCTGGTGGCCATCTTGGAATATGGATCGCCTTCAAAGTAACAACACTTGGTCAGCACCTCATAAGAAACATTCATGCAATGGTTGCATTCATTCCATTCAGTGGTTCCCTAGAAGAAGACATTTGTATGTATTTCCCATAGGGTCCTATGTTAAAATAAGTCCCCCGCTGGCGGCCATCTTTGATGATGGATCAGCTTCAAAGTAACAACACTTGGTCAGCACCTCATAAGGAACATTCATGCCATGTTTGGTTTCATTCCATTCAGTGGTTCTCTAAAAGAAGACATTTGTATGTATTTCCCATAGGGTCCTATGTTAAACTAAGTCCCCCGCTGGCGGCCATCTTGGATGATGGATCGCTTCAAAGTAACAACACTTGGTCAGCACCTCATAAGGAACATTCATGCCATGTTTTGTTTCATTCCATTCAGTGGTTCTCTAGAAGAAGTTTAAAATGTAAAAAGTTAACGACGACGACGGACGACGACGGACGACGACGGACGACAGACGCCTAGTGATGAGAATAGCTCACTTGGCCCTTCAGGCCAGGTGTGCTAAAAATGTAATAAAGAGCTGCGCCATGAGCGCATGATACGCCCATCGCTTTTTCAAAGAATAAAGTTCCATAACACTTCATTGTCATATCAGAAATTTATAAAAAACTAAAGGGAAGTTATTTAAATAGATATAAAACAGTCACTAAAGTTTTATGAAAACTGCTCAAAGCACTTTTGAGTTATTGTCCAAAAACTGGAAAATCCCCCCTTTTTTATGAATAAAATCCCATAACTCGGAAACGTAAAATCTAAAATTTATGAAAATCGAAAAGGAGCTTACGTCAATAGATATATACAATTCACAAAAGTTTCACGAAAACTGCACATAGCATTTTTGAGATATTGTCCAAAAACTGGAAAATCTCCCTTTTTTAATGAATAAAACCCCATACCTCAGAAACGTAAAATCTAAAATTTATAAAAATCAAAAAGGGAGCTCACATCAATAGATATAAACAATTCACCAAAGTTTCATGCAAATTGGTTAAAGCGTTTTTGAGCTATTATCCGACATGTTGACCACGGACGGACGGATAGACAGACGGACGGACAACAGTATACCATAATGAGTCCCGTAAACGGGCTTATAAAAAGTAAAATGCTTTTATTTAAAGCAAACTGGATTTTCCCTAAGTGATGACCAATGTGATAGTTGCTGAATAATGAGTATCAGCATTCTAATTTCCTTTGAAACTGGAAATAATAATTTTTTATCGAATAATGTATACCCTCCATTCTAGTTTTACTTAAACTTAGAGGTCATATTTTTCCATTCAATAATTTACTCACCTGGCACATTTTCTTCAACCTGACCATGTGAAATTCCATTGTCAATGGGAGGAGCACTAGGCAGAACTGCAAATAAAGGATAACATATAGCCCACTATACGTCATGGTTTTTTCTCATTGTTGAAGGCTTTATGGTTGTCTATAATTGCTTACATCCACTTCATTTGAACTTTGGTGGATAGTTGTCTCATTGGCAATCATACCACATCTCCTTATTTTTATATACCATTGAAAATATTGTTCTGTATAGATACACCTGTGTTCGTAAGTATTATTGAACACAAACTTGATCTTGTTCAAACATGAATAATTTCTGAATATGCATTTTATTCTTTCTCAGAGATTCTTGTGATCTATTCTCCTTGGGATTTTCCATTTAATTCTTTTCTTTAATTCATACTGAAATGAAAACCTAGATTATTTTGCTTAAATGTATAAATTAGGGCAGTGGCGGCTTCCCCTTTGATTGGAAAATATATAATTTTTTAGCATAAAAATCATCCAAAAACATTTTGCTTTGCTACGCTTGCCAGTATTTCTTCTGTTCTGGATTTACTTTCAAAAATACTGGATCCATCCCTGAATCAGGGGGTGATGCCAAATAATCTCCATGGAAATGAGATGCGCCAAAGGTAATGAATGGGTCTGCCACATATCATTGACCTACCATTAGTGTTTCACCTGAAACATCCCTCCTAATCACAAACTGAAACAATTGTTGATGCTGCCAACGAAGGAAACCACACAAGTAAGTCATGCCCTGACAACTTCTTATAGGCAAGACAAAAATCACACTAACTAATGTAGTCTTCCACTTGATAGAACACCTTCTAAATCAATATTGGTGCCTCAGTGGCCGAGTGGTCTAAGTAGTTGAACTACTGTATCACTAGCCTGTCAACACTGAGGTTGTGAGTTTGAATCCTCAATGTAGAAGGTGCACTCAACTCCAATCTTAATTGACAAATATTGTCAGTTTTACAACCGAAAGTCAGTGGTTCTCTCCTGGCACTCCGGCTTCCTCAACCAATAAAAACTGACCACCTTGAAATAGCACAATAGTGTTGAAAGTGGCGTAAAACACCAATCAATCAATCAATCAATTAAATTAATATTCAACAAGTAACATTTTAAATTAAACTAATCTCACCCCTATTTGTTGTAGGGTTTCTGTCAGATGCATCATCATTCATAAGAAAATCTACTATATCTTGGTGACCTCTCATCCTTGCAATCATTAGTGGACTACCCTATATAAAATATAGTTACTTTAATTTGACAAAATACTATTATCTTATACATATCATATCCAAGCTGATTAAGCAAAAATTAATAAAAAAAAATAAAGCAAACAGTTCATATTTATATAATTCAGGTACCAGTTTGTATCATATAGGTACCAAAAATATTGCTTTACGACAACTATTTTGCTTCACTTCAGGATAGCAAACAAATATATTTCCTGCAAAATTCTTTGTACTGTGGATATCCAAAAGGCTTTGTCCTTTTGCAACACCAATTTTTCTGAAATTCTTTACTAAGTTGCAGTTTGAATCACCATTTCTTCAAACAAATGTTTGTCTCTTGGTGTCACTTTACAGGAAAAATTAGTTTTCCGCTTTAACAACAGGAAAGCAGATAATCCAAAATCTTTGTTTTTTTTTATCACTTTCATAAAATATGCTATTTCAGAGAAATGGCAGATGTCTTGAAGATTAAAATACATTAAACAAATATGTCATTTCAACATGTATTTAAATTGCTTTTCCTCCTCCTTATCAGCTGTAATGGTTGAAACTTAAGAAATTTCAAGACCATGCAATTTAAAATTTAGTTCTGAATGGTAAAACAAGGTTAATATTGAAAACATCTTTACCATATTGTTCTGACTAGGAATAGTTTTATTAGCACCTCCTTCATGGAATAGTAACTTTAAAATCTGAAGATGTCCACTTATTGCAGTGTAATGTATTGGGGCATATCCAGAACTGTCCACATGGTTCACATCAGATCCATGTAGTATAAGATAATATACAACAGGCAGACTACCACTGAATACAGCATACATCAAAGCTGGTCTCTTAAAATTGTCTGCAAATAGATGTCATGTCAATCGGAATTCATTCATGAAATGTTTAGCATCACAAGAACTTACTGTTATCCAGTTTTTTTCACAATAATCTTACATTAAATATTTTGACTATGGTAAAATCTCTTTAAGAAACAAAATTGCATTTGAAAAATTAATCTATGTCTGGATGAAATATGACTTTACCTTTTTAAAACATTATTATGTACATTAGATTTTGATATTATTTTTAGGTACCTTTTGGTCATATAGCTCTTCCAACTGTTTTAGTTCTTATAAAATTGAGAATGGAAATGGGGAATATGTCAAAGAGACAACAACCCGACTAAAGAGCAGATAACAGCCGAAGGCCACCAATGGAACTTCAACGCAGCAAGAAAATCCCGCACCCAGAGGTGGTCCTCAGCTGGCCCCTAAATAAATTTGTGTACTGGTTCAGTGAAAATGGACGTCACACTAAACTCCAAAACATATAAATGAACTAAAATTAAAAAAAACATGCACGACTAACAAAGGCCAGAGGCTCCTGACTTGGGACAGGCGCAAAAATGCGGCGGGGTTAAACATGTTTTGTGAGATCACAACCCTCCCCCTATACCTCTAACCAATGTAGAATAAAGAAACACATAGCAATACGCACAGTAAAACTCAGTTTAAAAGAAGTCAGAGTCAGATGTCAGAATAGGTAACAAAAGAAACTAAGCAAAATGACAATGATACATAAATTAACAAAGGACTACTAGCAGTTACTGACATGCCGGCTCCGGACCTCAATTAAAAAATTGAAAACAACATGTTTAATAATTTATTGCGTCCGAAGCGCTTTTCTGGATTTACCTTCATCAGGAACGCTCAAAGCCAAACATTTGAAATCCGAAGATGTATAAGTACCGAAACCGTTAAACTGATTGAAAGATTATGTCTTCATCGTATGAAAATCAGGTACAATTCCTCCCGTTAGGGATTTAGTATCATACCATCATAAAATATATGAGAAGAACATAACCCGTATCATGCCAACAACTGGTTTTAGAATAAATGTGTTTATTTCCTATGCAAAGACCCTATGAGTGAATCAATATTAATACCCAAATATGCAATCCTTAATGATCTGACAACATTATCGTAACTATATCCCTTCCGAATAAGTCTGTGTAAAGGTTTGGTTAGCTTTTGAGGTGAATGCCGATATTTTTGTGCTTTGTAAAGAATATTACCATAAAATATTGGATGTGAAATACCTGAACGTATATGATGTCTGCATGTTGATTTATATTTACGAATGATGTCCTTGTACCGATGATAAAATTTAGTAAATGTTTTGACTAGTTTGTGATATCGAAAACCCTGGTGTAATAATTTTTCAGTAATACAGAGATTTCTGTCGTTGAAATCAAATACGCTGTTACATACACGAGTGAATCGAACAAGTTGAGATATATAAACACCATAAGATGGTGACAAGGGAACGTCACGATCTAAAAATGGATAATTAACAATAGGAAGTGAAAAATCCTTGTACATCCTTGGCTTTCAAATATTAGGCTTTGAGCTTTCCTGATGAGGTAAATTCAGAAAGCACTTTGGACACATGAAATTTATAAAGTGTTGTTTCATTTTTTAGAAATATACAAGGAAGTTTAATGTGAAATAAGCAGTATTTACATTGATAACTTTCATATTTTAGATGAGTTACACTTTTTCAACTTGATGGTTTGTCTTGTTTTGAAAATAAGATATATCCCCAATCAAACATTTAATCTTTGAAACTACCTTTCATGGAACAAATTTTTTTTCACACCATAGAAATGTTCATGCTCACAAAAAGTAGATCCTCTATGATGTTTTTGAACTTTTAAAATGTTGGTATATAACATTTTTGTATCTTGCAACAAAGGAATTAGTATATGTACATACAAAACATGTTTGGTGTCAACTTTTTTTTTGTACTTATATACTGCAGTTGTCGATGATTTAGAGACAGTTTAATTTACTTCAAATGTTAACGCTACGTTTAGCACCGTTTTCATTTTACCATAGTTAACGTCACTATACCTTTTGTTAACGTTATATTTATTATTATGTAATATGTTATCATATTTAGTTGAGATTACACAGTCAAACAATAATAGATGTTGTTTACTACCTCTCTATACATTGAGTTTAATCATCCGTCAGAGCAGTAAATGTTATCCCCTCTAGCATAAATAGACAATTTCTGGATAAAATTTTAAAAAATCAACAGAAAACCTCCAACTAAATTAGAATAAAAAGAGATAAACCATATACCTAACTTGTCTATTTCAGCTCCTTTCTGTATCAGCAACCTCACAACTTCCAAAAGACCTCTGCTAGCTGCTATCATTAATGGTGTTACTTTATATTTGTGACGAATTGCTTGAAAGTTGATATTAACTCCTGTATTTATTAGTGCTTCCAAACGTTCCTGAAATGTTCTTATATAATTCATATAATGATATTGATGCATAATTTTGGAAAATAAGGCAATATCAAAAACCTACCCTAACTATAAAAATACATCCTGAAAAGAAAATATAAAATACTTAAATAAAAATTATCAAATAGTTTTCTCATTTTCTAATGGAAATTCACTTGAAGCCAGCTGTTTGACCAGTTGAAAACAAAAAATTAACAGTTGTATGAGAGGTGTTAAATTATTTAGAATTTGTCACAAGTCAAACCAAATGCGAAAGTTTCATAATATTAACTAGCAAACAATTTGCAAATGAGATGGAATGATACAGCACTGCAAATTCACAAATCATTGTGAGGTTTTTATTAATGCAAATAATGTGATTGGGTAAGTTTCCCAATCTATATCAAACTTTTCCTGAAATTGCAATAATTTATCTCAATTTTTGTTATTTAAGTCGAAATCACAATAATAAATGCTCACAATAATTTCTGAATTTATAGTCGTGTCAAAATTTCTGCTTGTTGGTGAGTCTGTGCCATGTCAGGGATCTCATCAGTGATTGTCTTTGTTCATATCCAATGTGTTTTGTCCTTTTAAGGAACTTTGATTTGATGGCAGACCTGTGGCAGTCTCTGTTTCTTTGTTGAAAACTTCTCTAGACTTGGGGCAATGCCAAATTTGGGACTGTTGACCCTACGAATCAGTTTTCTGTGTAGTGTTTTATGGACTGTTGTTTGTCTTCATGTCTTTCTTTCAGCAATTATGCTTTATTTCTTCACTTAGGTGTAATTTGACTGGCACTATGGTACATGTATCTTCTATATCTAACCTTTTTTACATCTAGTATGTATATTTGCATATTGTTGAAGAATGTTTTTTTTCAATTTTTTGCTTTGATGGGTTGCTGTCGCATATCACACATCTAATCTAATATTCATAGGATATGTAATATGAGACGCTTTACAACAGAAAACTTACAACATTCCCTTCATAAGCAGCAGCATGTATAGGTATATGCATTGACTGTAATCTAGCCTCTTCAATTCTATCGCCTAAAAGCAGATATAAAAGAACATATGTGATGAAATTTTTTTTTATTAAATCCAACCTGTTAACAAAGTCCATAATATATTTGTGATATTAATAACAATTCTTGAAATTTCATATTAAACAACAATGTCCAAGTTCAGTGAACTGCAAATTCTGGATCAAAACCCTAAGTGGGCATATACAATGTACATGTATTTTTTTTAACTTCATATCAAAATAAACAGGAAGAACAGACAAGCAGTATTTCACAACATGAATTACCGGTATGCTTTTCCAATGGCAGATATAAACTGTATGACTGATCATCTGCTTTACTTCATTTCAAACATTTGTCAACACTTTAAATTGCAATAATTCAGTAATTAAATGATTGAAAATTTTTGAAAAAAAAGGTACTATGTGTTTATTTTTCATATATCTGTACGAAAAAGGAAAATGTGGGATGACTAAACCATTAATTTGACAAAATGTATAGAAAAAGTCAAATCAATTTGATTCTTTAATGCATTTCACAACTGTTCAAGGTACTAAACTTGGAAAGAATAAAACATTTGACACTCAAAGAAGTTACAGCAGATTTTTAATATAGTAAGAAGTTATTAAAATATCACCTGAAAGCATATCATTCTGATTCTCAGGTCTGTGATGGCTCAGCCTGTCATGTGACCATGATTGTGACTGTCTGCCAGTGACCTGCTGACCACTCTGCCTGCTATTGTTACCTCTGTTTGGTACTACAAGTAAATATGGTAAAAATGCTCTAAAATAAGTTACATTCATATTTCTACATTTTCATAAAATGATTGTATAAAATACCATATTGCAGTGAAGAATCCTGTTAATCTAATGATTTTTTCACAAAATATAGGCAAATTTTAGTTTCTTTTCAAAGGTCTGTGTTCTGAAAATATTGTTCTTCCCATGGTAAGTCATCAGACATGACCACCTTTATTTGTGATGCCACAACAGCAAATATGAAGATGTAGAAAAAAAATAAAACATATACCAGTGGTGAAAAATTTTAATTGGCAAAGTATTGGAGAAATCCTAATAATATACAGCTATTTCCAGCATTACTTTGAAGTTTGATGAATGGTACAAGTCTGTCAGATGAAAAAAAAACTAAATTTATATAAACAAAAATGCAAATTATAAGGGAATAAATCAGAGGATAAAGATCTGCTAATCACTGTTCGACTCTTTGTTGTAGAAACCCAGTTCTATCAAAAAAGATAAATAACTCTTATTAAGTTGTAATTTCATAGTCAATTTAGGATATGGGAAATTACTTTTAAATTAAGGCATTACCAACTAACATTAGACTGGAGCAGTTGCGTGTACTTACAGTAGGAATGTGTATTGCTAAGTCTCTCATACTGGTCTACTCGACTGGATATCTGAGAATGTGATGGCTTTGAAGTTGCCATGAATAATCAAATGCTGCAAAAAAAAAATAAGTAATAGAAGAGTTATTCTAAACAGAAGTTTCATAAGCTAGGTAAAAATGGCAGCATATATATAACTAAACATAGATGAAGCCCCAGTTTTATCTTAACTAAAGTGCAGCAAACTTTCCGTTCAGTAAAAAGTGATGTTGGAGTGCCACTTAGAATGGTTCTGTCTAAAGACACATTCAATGTTCAAATTTCAACATTCTGTCATTTTGTCTGTTCGAAAATATAAATATTAAATCCTTCTAATGTGTTCATGCTTAACATATACAAACAATCATTATTTATATGTAATGATATTGCTATATCATCTTATCAATCTGTTTAAATTTATAGAGACTCCGCCTAACTTATCTTGATTGACCATAACAGTTACATGTGCTTAAAGTTCATCGACTTTATCTATATATAACACACTGGGGTTTATAACATGTTGCAGTTTTATATCATGTAGTCTTACAATAAACATGTACAATGTAGTAGTAACTACAGAATTATTATACAAATGGCCTCTAACAATGACAACATAACATTTATGTAAAAGTTCAAGCTACAAAACTGCATTAAGGTTATTTCTACAACTTCAATACATATTTCATGTTTTCTATCATGCATATGTACAGTTATTATTTTGTGAAACAATGCACATTGAAAAGATATAAATGGGCATGCAAGAACTGAATTATCTTAACCTACATTTTACCCATTTGTGACATGCATTGAGGTTTAGATTTAAGTAACTTAAAGCAGAAAAGAAATACTTTAGTTCTATTATTTGTAGAGACAGTTTCACAAGAGCATGTGCAAAGTCTATAAGCCAGCTCAATAATGAGAAATTAATGTATTCCGAACAGCAGGAAACAGAATTTGGACCAAGATGTCAAAGTGTTTCTACAATTTGGCTAGTTGGTGTATCTTGGATAGTTACAAAATATGTGTAGAAATGGGTCAAGATAACATTCATGTTATGCACAACTGCTTAATAATGATATTCCATCATTGAATAACTTCAGAATAGTGGTATATATATAAATGTCAATGCAAAAACTGCATTTTTCTTTTACACACATTCTGTGCATTAATGATTGGTAAAGTTTTGAATACTAGTTTAAAAATCCACAGGTACTTGTCTATAAAAGAATACCTATATACTTATATTTTTTCAGAGACAAGTGCCTGTGTTAAAATCTATGTATGGGCAAGTTGGTCTCCCTGGGGCAAAGTTTGCCATATAATTAGTATTTAAGTTCAGTTCCTCTTCATGATAAATCATAAAGTGCATATTCATGTTAAAGGACATTGTGATATGCAGGGATTATTTATTTTCTTAAAGCCATGCCTTTCTTAAAATTGAGGTCATGCTGGTCCAAGACAACGTACAATACTGAGATCTACTGCATGGCTTGCCACCATTCCAACTAGTATTGTTTTAACAGAGAAGCTAGTTCAGGAACAGTGGACCTAATAATGTTCAATTACAAAGACAAATTATATAATATTTGACCGTTAAGCTGAATATTTGGATAATACATAAACATGATAAATTATTCATGTTATTAATGGTAAAGTATTTTGCTTTGTTCTACTTTATATTCAATCTTTTACCTGCAATTCCTATCAGATATCTGTCTTTGCTCGTTGTCGTTCTGTGTGCAGTAAAGATTTCCCAACATTTCTTTAAAATAAGACATATTTTTATACAGAAAACAGTTTCGAAATAACCAAAACAAAGGCCAAATCGAAAGTAGAAAAGTAAAAAAGAAACGAATCAGGTGAAGAATAGTACAAATTCCGTAATTTTATTTCTACACGTGACAGACACGACGTAGTTAACTTTAGCTATAATACATGTAACTTTGTTAGGTGACAGTTTAGTATATATCTAAGCGACGGATCAGCCGATCAACACCAGACAATTCAACATGTTCAATGTGTACAGTATATGGAAAAATAGATTCTTATTCAGAAATGTATGTATCATCAACATATTTTTTTTTTAATCTATGAATTTAAAATTTTTAAGACAAATTTAAGAACCTTTTTCGACAATTTTATGTGTTTCTATACAAATGTTCGCCTCATTTGGAAGAATTCAATCAGCAATATTTCAGAAAATAAAACAGATTGGTCTTAAAATGCATTATTCTTTCAATTTTTAGGTTTTAGTTCAACAAGCCAAAATTACATGCAGAATTTTACCAAACTCTGTGACATAGCCCATTTACCGTAGCTGGACCCTAATGATATCCTGATAACGAGTCCTGAAATAACCGTGGGTCTCCATGAATATTAGAGGATATCCTGAATTCAAAATATGGAGGCCCTGAAATATTCGAGGATAGCCTGAAATCTCGAATTATGGAGGTCTTGAAATCGAATTATGGATATCCTGAAATCAAATTATTGAGGCCCTAAAATATTTGAGGATAACCTGAAATCTCGAATTATGGAGGTCATGAAATCGAATAATGGATATCCTGAATTCAAATTACGGAGTTCCTGCTATATTTCAGGAGCTTCTAAAATACAATAAGTTTGACTAAATCCGCGCCTCATAATTAAAGACCTCCTGCAAATGATACCAAGTGGTGCCTGAAAGCCGAATCTCTAGCTTCTTGAAGAAACAACCATGTCATCAAATCAGCCAAAACCTAAACATCTGTGTGAACAAACTAATTTATTATATCCGTTTAGATCCACGATGAGACGATATTTTTGTCTACTAGTATATGTATAGATCTCGTATACTCAAACGTTTCTTCTTCTTCTTCCGGTAAAGTACAGTCCCAGGGGAGTTTACTCGATGCCAGGAAAACATTGTGGAATACGTGCATATTTTTGTCTTTTTGACATTGTTTTACATCCCGGTTTTTTTTTTATTAATATTGTATTTATATTGTGTCATAGATCCAATTTATTTTTTCAGTGTATGTTTACTTGTTTTTGTTAATATGTCTTTTTGATCGAGTTAAGCCATTTCAATTGATATTTTATAGTGTGTCTTTCTATGTTGTAATGTTACACTACTGTTTCAGGTTAGGGTTGGCGCCTGTTAAAACGTTTAAACCCGCTGCATTTGTTTACACCTGTCCTAACACAAGTCAGGAGCCTGTTGTTCAGTGGTTGTCGTTTGTTGATGTGGTTCATAAGTGTTTCTCGTTTCTCGTTTTTTATATAGATTAGACAGTTGGTTTTCCTGTTTGAACTGTTTTACACTAGTCATTTTGGGGCCCTTTATAGCTTGTTGTTCGGTATGAGCCAAGGCTCCGCGTTGAAGGCCGTACTTTGACCTATTATTGTTTACTTTTTACACATTGTGACTTGGATGGAGAGTTGTCTCATTGGCACTCATACCACATCTTCTTATTTCTATATATCTATACAGTGCAGATGTGCTTCAATAAAATCTGGTTAAAAACGACGTCAATGTCTATCGTATCTGGACAATCTTCACACCTTATTTGGATGACTCAAGGGTTGTACAGGTAACTATGGACGCTGTTAGTCCATTCCAGATTCGGATTGTGTCAAGGAAGAATGAATGCCTGTAAACATCAGTCCTTGCAAATGAATCTTTCATGATGTCCCCGAGAGGTGGATGTTATTGGCATGAGATGATGCGATGAAGGAATAGGCACAAGGTTGTTTACGATTCTGTACATCATGATGACTTAGCACTTTACTCTTCTCTATTGCAATGCATAGGCGGATCCGGGGGGGGGGGGGTGCTGTGGGCCCCCCCCCCCATTTTTGTGGAAAAAATTTGGTTTATTATATAGGGAATCACTGAAGCATGATTGTAGCGGGCCCTCTTATGGCAGTCAGTGGGCCCCCCTCCTTATAAAAAGTTCTGGGTCCGCCATTGCAATGTCACCCAGTTAAAAGTTTGTAGCATTGATGATACGCTACTGGTTCTGTTGTAGTCAGTAAGGACAAATCGTGCAGATCGTCTTTGCATTGATTCTAGTTTGTACATGTCATCCTTAGTTGCAGGATCCCATATGGTACATGAGTATTCCGTTAATGGTCTTATACGTGTCTCATAACAAAGAGTTATAGCTAGGGCAGCTTCTGATATTTCGTTGGAGGAATGCTCTAGTTTGGATAGCCTTCTTCGTGATGTTGCTAATGTGTTGGTTATAGTCGAGGGTTTTGTGTATTGTGACCCCAAGTATTTTGCTGCGTCGACTTCTTCAAGTACATGTCCATGTATTTTATAGTTCGCTTCTGGTTCTGGGGATTGAATTCCATCTGCCAGTCTGCTTCCCACTGTTGTAATCCGTCCAGTTCTTTTTGGAGCTCGTCAGTATCGGCTGTGTTTTTATTTGGTGGTAAAAAAAAACACAATCATCTGCAAATAGCCTGACTTCTGATGTTGATACATACTTTGGTAGATCATTGATGAACAGCAAAAAAATTACGCTTCCTTGGGGTACCCCAGACTGTACAAGTGCTGACTCAGATGAATGCCCTTCAAGTAGGACACGTAGTTGTCTGTCTTCCAAGAAGTCTGTTAGCCAGGTCAGAGGTGTACCCCTTATACCACAATGACGTATCTTGTATATGAGCCTTTCGTGTGGTAACTCGTCAAGTGCCTTTCAGAAATCTAGTAGGATAAGGTCCATATAATGTCCTTTATTGTCGACATTCCTCGCAAGATCCTGGATGTGAGTATGAGCTGGGACTCACAAGACTTTTCTTCCCTGAATCCGTGTTGGGCATCATTCAAAATTGAGTGTTTCTCTGAGTGCTTTATGACAGGCCTATAATTTGATTCCTGGCTTCTGTTTCCCTCCTTGAAGATGGGAACGACATTGGCATTTTCCCAGTCAGGTAGTAATGTACCTTGGTCTACTGAGGCATGGAAAAATGTTGTAAATATGCTGGAAATATCTGTAGTAAGTTTTTTGGCAGTCTGGTTGTTATCTCATCCGGTCCAGACGCTTTGTTGGTGTTAAGGTTTGACAGAAGTTTAGAGATTTCATTTTCTGTAATAAATATGTCCTCCATTGATGAAAATGGCTGTGTTTTCCTACTTTTAATGTTGGTTTTGTCTGCATTTCTGTTGAAAACTGAAGAAAACTGATTGTTTCAGATGTTTGCTTTGGTGGTGTTGTCTGAGTAGATAAGGCCATCTTTGTTCTTGAGTGGTACGACTTCTCCATTATCACATCTCTTGCTTTTGATGAAACTCCAGAATTTTTTAGGGTTTGACTTTTGTTCTGTGCTTATTATGTCATGTACACAGATGGAATATGCCTTCTTATGTCAATGGATGCCAATGATACTAGCCGATAATTTGCCGGTTGATGTTAATTCTCTCCTTTCTTGTAGATTGCAATGACGTTTGCTGTGAGTTATTGATCAGGTTTCTTACCACGATCTAGGTTAAGCTGAAACGTCCTTGTAAGATGTGAAGCTAGTAATTCTGCTGGCGGCATGTATCAGAACGAAAGCTGGTACTTCATCTGAGCCTGTCGCTTTGAATGACAGTAGTACCTTCAATAATCTGTAGATACCTGTTTCACGAATGGTAAGGTTGTCCATGATATTGTATGGACTAATACCAAGGTCGGATAAAGCAGCTATAGTGTGCTCTTGGGTGTAAACCGACTGAAAATACTGGTTTAGTATTGATGCCTTGCTAACTATCGACAACAAACTAAGGAGCATTTCTTCGAAACCAGCAGATATTCAACCATTTCCAATATGCCATGTCTTAACTACTATACAATGTCACGGTCTCATGAGCTGGAAATTGAACAATGCTTTTGGCTGATCACTAGACAAAGTTGGTGAGGATTGGCTGTATTATCGTTATTTCTTTTGGGAGATGTGGAGATGTTATGAAATATAAATTGATCAAGAAACTGTCAACACCAGAGATAATGTTTGAAATTTGTATGGAGATATATGCATCACTGCAGGCTCTACCTATGTAGTGCAATCGATGTTGGTTATTGTACTTGTCGGCCGACCATTGGCAAATGTCACATACATTCAGAAAGAGAAGAAAATATACTACATATTAAGAACGTTCTGAAAACTGGACTATGCCGGGGATGGAGACAGTAATTTTGCTCGTCACTGAACAGAGAGGGAATGATGAGTTGCTTTGCATGATCTTGCATACAAAACTTCATGCAAAATTCTTGAAAGTTTTTTGGGGCGTCGGCTTACACTTTCCCATTCTATACATCACGCATTGCCAATCAGACGCCCCAAGCCTATTGTCATAATATCAGGCGGAAAATGACCAATTGGCCTACTTCTCAAATGTAATAAAACTTTGGGGATATATCGAAATTATACAGGCTTAGAATTCGTATAAACACAAAAGCCTGACATATAATTATGCACATTGGTTAGAATTAGGCTAGATGAAACAAGCTTTACAGTGACCTATACTTGCTTACAGTCACTCTGGTGGAAAATAGTCTCATTGGAAATCATACCACATCTTATTTGTATATTCACCATGAAAGTCCCCTCTATATAGTTTATCACGTAACTATCCTCTTACTGTGAAATTGGAGAAAGCAATTCAGAGCAAGATGTGGATGTCCAAACTATTCAACACTATGCTATTCATTAATACTTAGCACATCAAACCATTACAGCGTATTGTCTGACACCTCTCTTACCAGTCCAACGTCCTCAAGAAATATGAGACCCTTACATGCTTCAACACCGGATAAAAACAAGAACAGAAAACCATCCAAGAAATCT